AGGTACCCTGTGGTCAACCCTGACTCCGGAGACAGGTAAGTGCTTGCTTATTTGTCAGCCGTTTTTGTAACTTATTTATAACGTTTATCCATAGGCCAATGGGCTCCGCCCTTGGTTGCCCGTCGAGGTGTTCCGCTATGGGCCCCGGACGGTCGAACTTTGTTGGGGCAACTAGGGGCGTGTACAAAATTTTGGTAGCAGAGCGTGGTTTGGATGGGTTCTCCAATCCAGCCCGGCCGTAATATAGGTAATAAATAAGTACGCAATAAAATTTAAATATTTTTTTGTTGTTTTGTTAGCGGGTAGAATTGAAAACACGCCCGTTAGGCTGCGCAAGTGGGAGTTTGTTAGGGCTAGGTACGCGTCAGGTAGATAGATAATTTGTCGTTATCACATAATCGGATAATTATCGTTATCGTATAATTATAGTAGATTAATTGTCGAAGGGTCGGTCGCCAGGGCGAGGCATCTTTGCTGATCGACTGTAGTGTGTACCTTTATTTGTAGTGTAATTTGTATTTAATTTGATAAATAGTAATTGTATTTGTAGTAAATTGTATTGAATTTAATTTGATTTGTATTTGTGCCGCGGATTAATTCGTATTTAATTAGATAAATAGTAATTTGTATTTGTAGTAAATTGTATTGAATTTAATTGATTTGTATTTGTGCCGCGGATTAATTTGTATTTAGTAGTGATGCCATCACACTGCCAGGGCAATCACCTTGCCGTTTTGTGCCTGGGTGCGATCGGCGCTTCCTCTCGGGGCTCTGCCGGGCCCTCGACTCCCACGGGCGGGGGCGCACAGCCGCGTCCCCTGTCGGCCGACGCTCGGCGCTCGCCTGCCGGCCGCCGTACCCCTGGGATTGAAAGGGGTCCCTCCCCTGACCAGACGGGGTTCGTTCTACCAGGGGCGGGGGTGTCGGCGCCCCTCCCTCAGCGTGTTGAGAGGAGCTTCACAGCCACTCAGCGGTCAGCTAGGCCTTCTCACCCCGTTAGCTGAGTGGCCGCGACTGGGGTACTACTGTCCCCCCTTTGATGGAGGCAGCCCCAGCTAGGTAGCTGCCGCCCTAGCTCCCACCACGGCCGCCTTAACTGAGCCGTCAACAGCCCACTTGTCAAACTGTTCTATTGCCGACGGCTTCAGTGAAGGTTTACAACCCGAGCGGCGATTGTTTAACCGTTCGCTCTCTATTGGATTCAGGTTCAAACGCGGTGTGGCCTCCACTTGGTTGGTGGGGAGACTGGGGCTCACTGGGAGCTTTGAATGCTTGGAAAAAAAAATTGCTTTGGTTTTCCGCCACATGTTCGTAGTTGTAGCGGCTGTGAGTAAGAAGGTGAATTTGAAATACTCTTTGAATGCGCGTACATATGTTTTTTTAAATGTGTTTGATCATTATGTTTGGTTGTTGAAAAGAAAATTGACATTGAGTAACTATTTGTGCCGAAGGAGATGAAAATCAATCCTCTTTTGTTTTCACATTTTGTTGGCATTGTCGAAGATATTTATTTTGTAAAGAAAATTTTGTTTTTTTTGGCTATCTCTTATATTTGTCGTTTTGCTTAATTTGTCTGTTTGATCTATCCGCATCAAGAAATAAATTTGTTACGGTTTATATTCGAGTTTTACATAGTAGTTTGAGTATTGATGCTTTGAGGCTTGGATGAAGCATAGGCATGGAGCTGCATGCTTGGAAAAGCTGCTCTTAAAGTATGACGGTTACGTGCGAAGAGCTCGGCCGCGTGACAAACGCCTCTTATTGATTGTCTTTCGTGCTTTAAGTGACGAGAGGCCCTTTTGAGTTTGAAACGCTAAGAATGTGTGACCCGAGAGGAGATCGCTTCATGTTGGATATAGATTAATTGTGCGCGTACACCGCGGCGAGTAGAAGTATGAAAAGGAAATCGGATGGATGTTTGAAGGAGGTCGTCGAGTTTCTGTCCAGTGGCGGGACTTGTTTGGGTGCTGCGATGTCCAGGAAGGGCATCCAGTGGAAGTTCGACCCTCCGGCTTGCCCACATTGGGGCGGTATTTTTGAGGTGGTGGTTGAGGTTGCAAGATCTGATGGGGGGCCTAGGGTGGCCGAGATTTTGGTTGGAAATTCGGTCTTGCAACGCGCCGTCGGGGCCCTGTCTCTTTTGCCAATTTGCTCGCGGACATAAGTCCTTATGTCCGGGACGGGGGTTTGTTTAGGCCCAAAAATGGGCATTTGAAATTTGCACCAATCACGTTTGACTCGGTGCATCACCCGATGGTGTCGAGGTGAGGTAAACGCCTCCGGGGGGGGGGGGGGGGATTTGAGTGATTGAAGTAATTTCGTTTGCAATCAATTTACGTTAATTTGTATACTGATTGCGTTTTGAAGTGCATTTTGCAATATTTAACTTGTTTGTGTGACGTGGAACGGTCTGGAATTTGATGCTCGCATTCCATTTCGAAGGCGTGGCCCGGTTAATTTTTTTTGGGAAGTTAATGTTTAATTGTAACGTCGCATTAAGTGCCCCTTTGTGTGCTGACTATTTAGTTAGTTTTGCGTGTCAGTGAGGCTGATTTTGAGTTCTTATCGCGGGCGTAGTATTTTAATATCGTACGAAAGAATTTAGTTTATTGTTTGAAACGCTGAACCTTGTGACTCGAGAAAAGGTCGCGTTCGTCTGTGTGGTTGTAAATTTGTGCTACGTGAACCCAGAACCTTGAATATTGAACTTTGAACGACGGTTTGTTACTTGTACCGTGTGTCACGTGTTTGAGTACAATTAACGAGGCTTATCCTTGAGTTTGAAGTTAATTAAATGTACAATAAAGTTGATAGACTGAAATCGGAAATGAAGACAGAAGTTTCAATTGGTGATCGCCCCCCTTGAGAGATTTCACTTTTGGAGAGGCAACGCCTGTGGATCTGCGTTCAGACTTCAACGGTCAAGTCAGGTCACACTTGTACACACTACCACACACACACTTTACAAGCACATTACTTATCATCTGACAGGTATACCCTGTGATCAACCCTGTCTCCGGAGACAGGTAAGTGCTTGCTTATTTGTCAGCCGTTTTTGTAACTTATTTATAACGTTTATCCATAGGCCAATGGGTTCCGCCCTTGGTTGCTCGTCGAGGTGTTCCGCTATGGGCCCCGGGGATGGTCGACCTTTGTTGGGACAACTAGGGGCGTGTACACTGCCTATCACGGATTTGTTCCAACTATCCTAAGATATGGTGTAATATTTTGGGGCAACTCGGTAATTAAGGAATTTGCATTCAAAACTCAAAAAATGCATTAGAGTAATGTGCAATCTGGATAATACAACAAGCTGTCAACCATATTTTAAACCCAAATTCTGACATTGTCTTCGATATATATCTATGCAATAAATCTATTTTTGAAATCAAATCTAAACTTTTACAAGACTTCTTCTAAATGTTACTATAGACAATTAAGTGACAAGAAAAGATTAGACTACAACAGATTAGATTACAAAAAACTGCCTGATGATGTAAAAAAGTTGCCTATTCCACAATTTAAGACGGTATTACAGAAATTTCTGATTAATAAATGTTATTATAATGTCAAAGAATACCTAGAGAATAAAAATATTATAATTCAATCACAATTATTTTAATTTTATTGCAACTTAATAATAATAATTTAATTATAGTTTAATAATAGTAATTTATACATTTATTATATGCGACACTTTGTAATAAGTTGATAAGATTAGTATAATAAATCATAATTTTGACATTATTTCATTTGCATCACAATATTTTAAATTTGATTGTACGTGTTATTAAAAATATTATATTTTGATTTTATATAACTTCAAGATATTTAGTACGACAATAATTACCGCTATGGACTCTTACTCAACTATTGACAATTATTTTTTCTTCTTATTTTTCTTTTAATTTAAACTCAACATTATTTAATTAGTAATGCGTAGCCTAATATTCTATTTTCACACCTTATATATAAATAATAATACAGTGTACATATTCTAATTCTCTGTAACAACTTTTATACCTGTATTATGCAAATAAATGAATTTGATTTGATAATAATAGTGCGCCGTTGTTTGGAATTGTGGTTGGTCCCTGACCACAATTCCAAACAACAGCGCTTGCTTTTAATTTCAAGGTAAATGAGCAACCTGTGTCCATTACCGCTTAAATTGACAATTACTGTTTATCACACGATATTGTTTTTTTTTAAAACTGAAGATACAAACTTACAGATCACGTGATTATAAGTGGCTACTACAGTCTTATTTATTCTCTCCATAGTTGCGTGTTGGTGAACTTCAGATGTCCTTTAGTTACCTTTTACAAACTCTTTTTTTATAGAATTAGGGTGACAAACGAGCACACAGTCTACCTGATAGTAAGTGGTTGCTGTGGCCCATAGACATATACAAATCCTCAATTAAGAATCAAAATGCAGATACGTTGTTACCCCTGAGCACAGATTAGTTAATAGCCCTGAGGACTGAGATGAAATGCCTCGTTTGCAGTAAAAAGGGTTTTCGGTTCTCTACACTCACCATACGAAACACAGCATTAAGCTGCCATTTTACGCTGGTATTTCGTGAATGCATGGTCCTACTCGGAAGGAGCCGACCTATTTGTGCTGCAACCACAATATAGCTGCAGCATGGCTCTACCACGTAGAGGTACTTTCTCGTAGTTAAAAATAAATATGCCGATAGTAGAAATCGCTGCAGAGAATTTCATCATCCAAGCCAAGTTGAACCAGACGAGATGAACTACTAATAACATATAGGCCCTGATAAACATTTTAAATTTAATTAAACGTGTTTAAAATTCAAAAATAAACTAATTTTCTTTATCTAATTATTCCTTGGTATGTTTACTTGGGTATAAACTCATTTGTTGACCCATGCCGTTATCCGAGCGTTGAATTTTAAAAGTTATCACATATATTGTGACCTACAGAGGCCTTTATCAGCATGCCAGTACTCCTTGAAACTTATAACAGTGAACATGCAGATATTGTGGCTTTGTGCTCTGTTTCAATACGTAAGTGCGGTTTTATGATACACGATTACTATCGTTACTGTGCGTATAGTAAACGAAACTATGTCTCCAATTCTATTTTGCAAGCCCCTTTTTTGTTCCACATTCTTTTATAATAATATATTATTATTAACTACTTCTATTATTACTAACTACTCCAACTCGCCTTAAAATGCTAGTGCTAAGTTCATGGCAGTAACCGAATGACAGATACAAATCCACGACTTGTTAGTTTCGCAGTACGTAAACTACAATTTGCAAACTAACCAAAGGATACTTTCGCATCTATATTATTCAAAAAATCTTAATGCATTACTTTTACATTTTTTTCCTATTCTTCTCTATCGTACTTCTTTATTGGCTCATTTGCGAGATTTGTTCTATTAATTTTGGTTTATAATATACGTACAATTTTTCATCTTGGAAATGTCGAATATTCAAGATGCCGTAGAACGATATAATCAGATCAATTCATAAAATTTCTATGATTTTTTTTTTGTATAATAGTATTATTAGCAGTTTATTGTCCTTTGTTTATATTAGTAGCACCAAAGGTTGCTTATGTTTGTGTCGCTAATATGATATCTGACACCTTAACCAACGATCTTTACAATGCCTACTATCTTCTTAATTAAGTTATCGTACATTGTTGCAAAACACTGGTTAGTTGTATACGATAACTAGTTACGTTTTTAAACGAAGTGTTATTATAATAAAACAAGGAATACATTTATTTAGATGTCTTTGTAACACATTTTGCATCGAAAGTCAATTGCGCAGAATGAAATAGTGCCGTATACACGATGAGATCAGAGATGATTCTTTTTTTTTCATAGGATAGGGTGACAAAGGAGCACACAGTCCACCTGATGGTAAGTGGTTGCTGTGGCCCATAGACATCTACATCTATCCTCGTTTGCGAATCAAAATGCAGATGCGTTGTCAGCCGTGAGGACTAAGATGGAATGGCTCTTTTCCAGTAAAAAGGGTCTCCGGTTCTCTATACTCACCATACGAAACAACAGTGTTAAGCTGCTATTTTACGCTGGTATTCTGTGAGAGCGTGGTCCTTCCCCGGTCGAGCCGACCCATTCGTGCTACAACTATACTACTAATATAACTGCAGCATGGCTCTACCACTTATAAAATTTTAAATTCTATATGGTAACGTGGCCTATAGGTAGTGACTCGGAGCTAGGATGATGGGTCTTGTACCACGGTGCAAGTGTACACGATGACTAATGGTTAGAGTACTTAGCTACTACGCCGTGGGTCCTGGATTTGAGTGCTAGTTGAAGTCATTATATTTATTATTAGTTGAAGTATTGAAGAGAGACAATGCAAATGTATGCTGCAAAAATGAGGTATTATAACTCTGACAGAGTCAGTAAGGGACGCTTTAGACGGAATTTTATCGACCAAATTGGTGAAATATTGAAGATAGACCAAGTAAAGAGCCCTTAATCGACGTGCATGTTTGCGTAAATATATGGATGTGAAGGAAGCGACAGAGGTGTGTCAGGATTGTGCCAAATGGAAGTCAGTATTCTCTGCCTACCCCACTGAGTGTCAGGTGTGATAGTGAATTGTGTCATTGAAGTGATTGAAGTCATTGTTTGTGCAACAAGTAAATTGATCCGTTTCGGCTGTATAAAGTCACAGATACAGACAAATATATATACATACTAAAAAACAAAATATATGTATGTTTATATAACAGAAGAACAGAGCTGTCTCTAATATTGGAATGTATCAATAAAGAGTAGTCCCCCGTGTAGTGAGTGTGGTGAGTATTCTTACCCGCTTACCTGGCGGGTAAGAATACTCACTACCCCATATCTTCCCGTGGGTGTCGTAAAAGGCGACAGAGGGAAACTGAGGCAGAAGATGATAATAAAAAGCAATAAAAAAATCTGCGGCTGCCAACCCGCTCGCCAAGCGTGGCAATTATGGCAATATACACCCCATGATTAAAGTTACGAAGAGATGGCCCCCAGTCCCCGGCGGCCCCGCTATTCCTGGCTACGGTGGCGACCATGGTAACGACAGGGCAGGGGGTGCTAAGAATCTCCGGTGGAGGTTCGGTTGCCACCTAAGACGACTCGACCTGGCAACTTATAACGCACGCATCCTGAGTACTGACGAGAAGATCCTGGAGCTGAAAGAAGAGATAGACAAGTTGCTCTGGAATATTATAGGATTATCCGCGGTTCGAAGAGAGGGGGAGGACATGGTAATCCTCAAATCCGGCAACTTGTTCTATCACCGGGAGGGCCAACATCTGTCCCAAGGAGGTATTGGATTTATCGTTCACAAAAGTCTCGTTAACAACGTTGTAAAGATTGGGAGTGTGTCGACGAGGGTTGCGTACCTTATAATCAGAATCACCAAACGGTATTCGCCGAAAAATCATAGATAATTAATATTTTTATTTTGTTTAGTAAGGGTTACGAGCAAATTTTCCAAAGTCTTAAGTTTGTTCTAGTAGCTAGTCGTTGGTTTTAAAAATAGGAGAACTTTTTAGTATATGACAAATAACCCTGTAAAGAAAAATTAATATAATACCTTTAATACTTTATATAGAAACTTGCAGGCGAAGCTGTTCGCCTGCGTGGAATTTATTACGATTGGATTTCATGGGTTTTAATTCTTTTTCTAAAATAAAAGTAGCCTGTGCTACTTGTTAAAACAACAGCTATCTGCCAGTGAAAATCCCGTCAAAATCGGTCCAGCTGTTTCAGAGATTAGCCGGAACATACAGACAAAATTTTTTTTTTGTTATAAGTACCGTATATACTTTCATATGCCTTTAGTAAAAAGCTCTTATTTCAACATTACAAACAGACACTTAAATTTTATTTACTGTATAGATTAAAACTTTTCTTCTAATTTCAGACCAACAAAGAAAGAGCGCGATCAAGTGATGCAAAAACTAAGCCAAAACCATGCTCAGTTCATTATAACAACATGCACTCACGAATACATAATATGCATTTAAAATCATTTGCAACCAACAACATGGTTTTAGGTGCATAATATGTGTGCGTCCAGCTTTATATCTTTTGCATGCCTTAAGCGAAAGCGCAAGGTATGTTCTACTATCGCCTAAAAATTAAGATTCCAACGTTTTTTTACCTTTTATGGGCTGATAAAGAAAGAAATAAAGATGTGTGCGTGAATGCATGTCAAGTTTTGGCATCACTTAAAACGTAATATGCTTACTCCTCTGTCCTTTTTTGTTATTCTAAACTTCTAATATTCTATTATAATATTTACAGGCATTGGCACAAGTTGGTTTCGGCACTTCGTATTTAAGAAATTCACGCTTGGTGAGTGAGACCTATATGTGTGGGTTTTTAACAATCTAGCTTGATTATGTTTAGAAAATATTTTATTTTAAGATTACGTAAAGTTCAAGACAAAGGGCTTAAACACCGCGTTAGTGACAAGGTGTTTGAAAATTTCTTTCTGCATGAGACTGCTGGTCATGGATCTCAAACATTGTAGCGAGGAAGCTGTATATTTAGCAGGTTCTGTCATGTTTTCATTATTGAATAGATCGCAAACAAATAAGGTACGTGATGGTAATATGGTCACCTTAAGCTTTGCCGCCCTATAAAACCAAAACTAGGAAGAGGACAGAGACAAAAACACAAAGTCGTATGGTATAATTAATATATTAGAAAAAACTAGCAAACAAGCATTTGCAATAACTGAGAAAACTTTGAAAAATCAACTGAAAAAAAAGTAACTGCACTACACGATACTAAAATCGACCAAAATTTTTACTATAATGTCAACTGTAAATCATCGTTAAAGCAGCGCCCTTTTGAACTTTTATTATTTGATTGACTGATGAAAAACTATCGAATTATTATAAAACCATCTATGCAGACAATGCTGTAGTTTTTGAGTTATAAGAAAGTGACCACATTTAGGTACTTGATGACCATATTACCCTCACGTACTATATAAAATAACATTATTTAGAATAGAATAGAACAGAATAGAATATACTTTAAATACTTTTGTATATGTATATGTTACTGTAAAAGCCCGAATTTTGGTGAATCTTAGGATTTACTTTTAAATCCTAGGATTTACCAACATGAGCTGGTAAATGTAAGGATTGATATAAAATGCGACGATTTTTCGCGCTTTTACCGTTAGAGTTTGGTACATCCTTGGTTTTACCAAAGACTATCAGTAAGTGTTGGTTTTGGAAATTAAACAATATATTTATATAAGTAGAAAGTGTTTATTAAACATTGAATCATATTACCTGCATAATTTTAAAACAGATTTATGGTGATTTCTGAAAGTAGAATATAGAAAAATAAAGATGCTTGTTTTTTGAAAGTAGAATATAGAAATAAAGAGATGATGTATCGATTTACAACAAATCGATTTCTAAAATATCGATATTTTTCCACAGACTGGCTCATTAAATATTCTTGGGGAAGAGAAATAAATATAGCGCATAAAGATGTTTTCAAAGAATTAATTAAATCAATGCAATATGTGTATAAAATTGATTAATAAATTATGTCAAAGAACCGAATTGATTGACCCCGACTCCACCTGGTACGAATCTGTCCTACCCCTAGCAGTGGCGGATTAAAGGAGGGGCTAGGGGGGGCTATAGCCCCGGGCCCCATCTTGAGCCCCGCGGTCTCGAATCAAAAATAAATTTTTTAAACCTGTTTCAAAGAATTTTGAATAAAAGTAAAATGTTTTTCAAAGAAAATAAGTTAACCAAAATTACCTACGATTTTGAATTTGCTATCAGTTAACTATTTGTTGGCCAACGACGGGTGTAAATCTGTGATGAAATAACGAAATAAGTGGTATTATTAGCGAATGGGTTGGGAAAAACCGCGGCTAACGCTGCAGCGGTTGGTCACGGTGGCGAACGGTTGGGGGAAATTTCTACCAGAGAATGTTAATGTTTATCGCGTAATAATTTGAGTTATTCATTCATGCCAAATGTTGTGATTTTCTTTTTTACTTATATAATTTAAAAAAATTTATATGAAAGATTATTTAATAACAATTCTAAAGTAAGCAAAAAGAGAAAAATTAAATCTGTTGATACTTACATATAAATAACTTTAAAAATGCGGTTAAAAATAAAACTATAAAAATATCGTATCAATGTTGTAAAGAGTACGAGGACCTCACCAGATCGCCAGTAAACGAGGCAGGGATAATAAAGGGCTAGATAGTGTAATGACAGAGAGATATCTCTGTGTGCCTAGTGCGAGATGTTGTTTTTACGCACTCGATACCGAGAAAGTTAACTACAATTTGTATGGAATAAAATCAGCGCCAATTAGTGGCAAAAAAGTGCTCACAAAGGCAGTGGTACAGTCTCTTATTTATCTAAAACTATAAACGAAGAATTTATAGAGTTAATGGCTGCAAAAGTATTAAAACGTATTATTGATGAAATATACAGTACAAAATATTGGGGACTCGTCGAGATTCTACCCCAGATATATCCCACATCGATCAGTTGTCAGTCATTTTCCGATACTACTTAGATGGTCACGTTTATGAACGTTTTTTCTGCTTTTTACAAATAAAAAGTCATAAAGGTAGGTCGCTTAGTAATGAGGTATTAGATTTACTACAGGAGCACGGTATCGACACTAAAAATTGCAGAGCTCAGACCTATGATAACGCTTCTAATATGTCCGGTAAATATATTGGACTTCAAGCTTGTATTAGAGAAAAAAATGAATTATCGTTTTACGTGCCTTGCGCTGGCCATTCTTTAAACTTAGTGGGAGAATGTAGTGTCGACGTATGTCTTGATGCTACAAATTTCTTCGGAATTTTACAGCAGCTATATGCATTTTTTAGTGCATCAACACATCGGTGGGACATTTTAATCACTGAGAATTCTAAAATAACGAGCTTATCGAAAACGAGATGGTCATGTCGCGGAGACGCCACAAAAGTTGTAGTAAAGAGTCATGGAGGTATTTGTAGGGCTCTAGAAATTTTAGCGAATGACGAAGAACAAAACCGCGAAACTCGGAAAGAAGCTGAAGCTTTTTTGAAACATATAAAAAAACTTGAAAATGTTTTTATGGCGATTCTATGGAATAATGTTTTAAGCCGCTTTAAAGCGACTAGTCAATACCTTCAAAAAGTTGATACAGATTTAATTTCTGCAAATAACATGCTACTTTCATTAGTAGATTTTGTGGCAGATTTGAGAGATACATTTTCTGACATTGAAAATCAAGCCAAACAACTAAATTTTGTGGATCAAGAATATTCTGATGTAAACAAACGAAAGGTCACAAGAATGCTAACCGACAAAGACTCACAAGCTAGTAGCTTAAGCCCGGCTGATAAATTCCGAGTAAAGAAATTTTATGTGATTATAGACAAATAAGTTGCCGAGTTGCAGAAACGGAGTGAAGTATACGATCGCATCATTCAACTATTTGGCTTTATCACACAATTATTATTTATAGAGACAGATGTAGTAGAAAAAAGTAGCAAATATCGTAAAGGTTTACTCTGACGATTTAGAAAAAAATTTATCAGTTGAATTGAAAGAATTTATACCATGTTTAAAACAGCAGCGTAAGGGCTTTTTTTCCAATCGTACAGGAAAAAACACAAGTGCAAATGATGAAATCTTGTGTCCCTTAAAAGTTTTAAATTGGCTTGTAGATGCGGTGCGGGTGCGGATGATACAAGTTTTTCCGTATACCTATATTGCTTGCAGGATACTACTTACACTTCCAATCGCAAATTGCGAATCAGAAAGATCATATTCAGTTTTGAAAAGAATAAAAAACATGTATCGATCAACAATCTCAGACGACAGACTATCATCTTTAACAAGATTAAGCATCGAAGTCGACTTATTGAGATCAATTGACTTCGATGACTTAATTCATGATATTGCTAGAGCAAAATCAAGAAAAAAATTTTTTAATCGAATTTTAAAATAATTGTTTGTACCTCATTGTATCTATAAATAATAGTTTATAATAAATAATTTATAATAAATTAATAAATGATTTTTTTTATATTTGATAAAAAGCCTTTTTCGCTGTCCTTAAGTGGGCCCCTTCTCAATTTTAGCCCCGGGCCCCATAAAGTTCAAATCCACCCCTGACCCCTAGAGTGTTTTTATAAAGCCGGAGGCGTGTAGGTGGAGCAGCGTCCGCCTGCTGTAAAAACAGGGTGACACAGGGTGTCGTTTTTAAAAAAAAGTTATTTCTATAGCTTCGAATACTGATCCTGATAACGTACGTAACGGTAACCACAGGGTTTTTGTTACATGTTGTATATATATAAACTTAACTTAACTTATCTTCACGCACAATCCCTGACGGGGTAGCCAGAGAGAACAGATCGCCAAGTGTCACGATCCTTACAAACCTCTTTCGCTTCTTTCAAATTCATTATCTTCTTCATACATGCACGTCTAGGTATCCGAGTACTCTTGACCCTACCACACCCTACAGGTAGCGGGGAGGGCTGCACACGCAAGTGCGGCAATGCGCGGAACACGTCCAGACATGACTATTTTTCAACATTTACCGTGTCTTAGAGGTAAAAACTAAGATTTACTGAGCGAATGCTTGTAAAAGTCCGAAATAAACTATTACCATAGAACATTTCGGACTTTTGCCTTATGGACTTGGTAAATCTTAGGTTTTTTATATTATTATATTATATTATATATTATATTATATATTTTCCATTAATAACAAAATACATTGTGTTGGAAATTACAAGTTAATTCAATAAGGTTTAAAAAATAACATTATCATTTATGCAATACTCAATCAATTATCCACATCAAAATAATAGAATACAATAATAGGACATATAATTACAATAAAGAAATATGTCAAAGTATAAAATTACAATACAGAAATATGTCAAATTAATAAGACTATAAAAAGAAATATGTCAGTTTTTCAACTATATTTTATCATCAGTCAATTAGAATTTACATATTCTTCCACACTATAAAAATTATTTTCCAGAAGATACGACCTCAATCTGCTTTTAAATTGGATCACAGTTGTTATGCATTTTTCACAGTTGTTATGCATTTAACTATTTTACTGCAAAATCTTAGAATTTACCGTAGTTCTAGCTTTTACAGTAACATATACATACATTAGGGTGATAGAAATACAAATTAAAAGATATGCAACCAGTTAGTGGCAGGTAAATATTAAGGTAGGTATCATACCATATAATTACATAAAATTAATCATTTATCACAATAATTAAGTGGAAACTTCCAAAATGTTCATTAAATAATTTTCATGTCGCGATTTCCTAACATACAGTTACACATACGCAGCCCTTATTTGCAGTGTCACCAATGGAACTGTTTGAACGAGAAGCTAGGTCTACCCGATGCCCTTCCACCTAGGGACCAATACACGGCAGCTCTAAGATCGCTCCTGCCTGGCGAATGGCACGATCTGGTAAATACTGCCCTTGACGTGTGCTATGACAAGCGGACGCGGCGGTACACCAACACGTGTCCCGGGCAGGCGCTAATGCATTGCGTTGTTGATAATATGATCGCGGTATGTACATAATATGTAAAAATAATATTTAAGCAATGTAATACGATAGATAGCGGCGGCATTGTGCAGTTTAGTTGTGGCGTAAGATAATTCACTACCTTATATCATTCCGTGTGTGTCGTATTTTTTTTCTATAGAATAAAGGTGATAAACAAACACAGTTAAGAATCACAATGCACATACGTTGTCACCCCTGAGGGCTAAGATGGAATGCTTCGTTTCCAGTGAAAAGGGTCTCCACTCTCCAGTTCTCTTACACTAACCATACGAAACACAGCAGCATTAAGCTGCTATTTTACGTTGGTATTCTGTGAGAGCGTGGTCTTACATCGTGCTACAATTATAATATAGCTGCAGCGTGTCTCTACCGCGTTATACGTATCGTAAGAGCGAGAGAAGGAAATAAAACAGGAAGCAACAATATCTTCCTGATAACAATAATAAAATCTGCAATTACCAACTCCTCTCCCAAGCCTGACAACCATGTCAAAATATCCTCCTCCTCAATGGGGAAATCTATGGGGGAGGTCTATGTTCAGCAGTGGACTTCAATGTAATAGCAAGTCAAAATTCGGTTTAGTGTATGCTTTGCAGTATTCCACTTACCTAATTTATGTATTAGATAGATTATATTGTTCATAGCAATTGTAGACACCTTTTAATCACCGGAAAGATATATAACGCGGTTAGAAGTAGATGTCTATGAGCGACACCATCCACTTACCCTTAGGTGGACTGTGTACTCGCTTATCACCCTTAAATGGTGGATTTGATGCATAATTCCTGCAACTCAGTACTCGGACGCTGAATACATCGTAAATATTATCGCTCATTTACAGAATTGTCCTGACGACAAATGGCGGAAGGAAGACGGCTGCGCTCCGGTGTCATCGCTTGCTGCTAATAGATACATGTTTTCGCAAAGGTAATACAATAATACTACATATAATAATAATATAATGTTTTTATAATGGTCAGCCCATTTAACGAATTCATACACCTAGAAATGATAACTCAGTTCGTCTCGGCTTGCGTGGACGCAATGAAGTAGTTTTACTATATACGCGACCGGAGTTATGGCACTGTGTCAATGGCGCGGTGCGGTGGTGGTATACTAAATAAATTTGAAGTGCCTCTCTGTAATATCAAAATAACTGTCTTTTTTAAGCTGTGGTACCACATGTGGTACATATCATATTGGCATGGTGATACAAGTGGTAAATTTAAAAATTTTGTACAACCAACTTCAATATAAATAATTTATTGTTGATTTTTTTTTAAAACTGCTCGACTGATTTTGATATAATTTAAACGGGACCACCTGGGAAGTATAACCTTTGAAAGAAAAAAAGAATATTCCAAATCGGTTCAGGCGTCTTCGAGTAATCAGTAAACATACATTAAAAAAAAACATTCCGACGAATTGAGAACCTCATCCTTTCGGTTGAATGACAACATCATCAATGTAGTCGAAGTCAATTAAATACGCATTATTAAGTATAACTCAAAAACTACTAGTCAGATCTTGATCAATTTTATATGGGACCACATGAGAAGTACGAGATTTCAAATAAACAAAGAATCAACAACATCGGTTCACCAAGTAAAAAGTTCTGAGGTAACACATAAAGAAAAACATACAGTCGTTTTGAGTACTTACATCCTCCTTTTTCTGAATTCAGTTAGAATAAAGGGCCTTTCATAATTATCTTAATTCTAAGCATATTTAGTGGTTCCTATCCAGGTGCAGCAGGGGCGGCTCGCTAATTACATTAGGAAGACGTTGCTGCCCATATTCTGATTTGTTTCCCTGATCCCTCAGTCACCTTTTACGACACCCACGGGATGACATGTGGTAGTAGATATTCTTACACCGTGACTACTCGGTATAACTATAATTACTTATAATATATATGTTAGGGCTAAAAGCCGAAGTGCAGCACCTAGGTTTAGCTGGCTACTACTATATGCAGCCTATTGCGGTTGGTTAAAATTAGGTGTATCATATATAATTCATAAATTAAATAAATGTATGCGTTTTTGGGGTGGCCCCAACCGTACCTTAACCTACTGTCGCTGATGTTGATACGTATTTCCGTATTTTTACAAATTTAACAGTACACCTAAATTTAACCAACTACTGTCGGCCGCACCTAACTCTAACTTTTTTTTACGGGGGGAAATCCTCATGGACTACCTCCGCCTGGGGAAAGGAGGAGGGGCGTGCCGGACTCTTACCGGCTAAAAACACCCCGGTGTCTCCTCGCACGTGCGCGTGGGGTCGCGGGAATCCAAATTCTTCCGCAGCCGCACACTAGTGCTGGCCCGGTCTGTCCGGGCCTCGTCTCGTGCACGGGGTAGTGAGGTACCTAACTCTAACTAACCTAACCTAACTCTATTCGGCTAGAACTAGGTGTAACCGCACTTCGGATTTTAGCCGTAATATATATAATTAGTTAGAATTGCTTAAAATGGAAAACCGCCTAAGTTTCAAGATAATGCGAAAAGAACCAGATTAATTTTTTTAATAACGGTTCCAACTATCCGGTTATAGATATAGTAGTAGAATACCATAAAGATACACATTTTATATAAACATACATAGTAGATGATCATATCATAAAAATAACATCGTCGTCTTCATCATCATAGCAGCTGCTTACAAGTTCACTGCTGAACAAAGGCTTTCCCAAACGAATTTAGTAATGTTTGATACAATATAATAATATGTTCAACTGGAGTTTTTATGTATTATTATTTCAATGTTTTATTTTTCTTGGCTCTTCTTTTCCTTAAATATGTTCATATTATGTATTGTATCATTACTAATCTATAAAATAATTATTCTTTCAGCCGTTATGCAAATCTTCAGAAAAACTTACCGATTGAGCGCCGCCCTGCTTGGTTCTTGCAACACGTAAGTTTTTATTATATACTAGCTGGACCGGCAGACGTTATTCTGCCCTTATTGGTTGGTGGCGCGATGAGTTTCATTTTCACACATACACTTTTCTGTAAATTTATTATACGTACAACTAAATCTTCTTTAGGACGAACAGAACCATTAGCAGCCATAATGACATTAAACTTTAAAATGAAAGGAAAAACATAACCTTTTTTTACTCTTCCGTAAGCAGATAAAAAGTTGCCTATATGTTACATACGGTCATTTACTGCCTACACACAAAATTTCATGGAAATTCGTTGAGTAGTTTTTGCGTGAATCGTGAACACACAATTTTTCCATAGATTTATTATATGTAATAGATAATAGACAAGTTTAGCCAATCTTTTTAATCGAGTAGCCTGTGGGTATCATACAGGCGACGAGCTTACAGAGCCTTTCGCATTCAATACAATAACGCTTTTAGGATGTTGTTGGGACTGCCATGGCGCTGTAGTGCTTCGGAAATGTTCGCGGATGCTAGGAGTGATGGATTTCATGCTGTTTTGCGAAAGAAATCAGCCTCAGTGTTACAGCGTCTGCGAAACAGTAACAACAGCATTTTAAAAATGATCGCGGCGAGACCAGATTGCCACTTTCAGCGACACTGGGTAGAGCTGGCAATAGGATTAAAGTGATAATGAATTATGTATATATATATTATTATTATGTAGGCATAAATATTAACATTACTAACATAGTTATTAAGTAAAATTGTTACTAATATACTTACACTTAATATGGACTAATTATGTCTGAAATAAAGTTATATTATTATTATTATAATTAGTATTTAAAAAAAGCTTTATTTAGTTAGTTAGTAGTGGTTAAGGATTCAAAGTTAGAAACTTAAATGCCGTGGATTTGAATCCGCCTTACGATGACTGTCAAATGACTGCGGATGCCAAACCGGCTGTAAAATAATGCATATATATTTTACGAGAAAATCGATAGGGGAGGCAGTGAACTTTAAATAGGCTGTCATGAATAAATAAATTAAAGAATTACTAGTATTCTTTTGTTTAAAACATAACATACATACTATATCGTGTGTAACTTTGTTTTTCAGTACTTCAGCGACAAATGCTGCGACATCCCCGATTTGTTCAATGCCACCGTATTAAGCGAGTGTGGGTTCGAATCTTTCATGCTGTACCACGTGCACGACGCCCAAACTGATTCGCAATTAAAGTTTGACAAACTCGTAAGTGTAATTAGTTTTTATCTCTGTACGTCTCAATCAATACTTATCGTCTGTTCGTGGTAGAGCCTAGAGTCATGCTGCAGTTATGTTATAGTTGTAGCACGAATGGGTCGGATCGACTGGGAAAGGACTAAGCTCTCACAGAATATCAGCGTAAAATAGCAGCTTAATGCTGCTGTGTTTCGTATGGTGAGTATAGAGAACCGGAGACTCATTTTACTGGAAAAGAGGCATTCCATCTTAGTCCTCACGGGTGATGACGCATCGGCATTTTGTTTCTTAATGGGTCACAGAAACCACTTACCATCAAGTGGAGTGACATCAAGTGGTAGAGAACCTGAGACACTTGTTGCTGGATATGAGGTATTCCATCTTAGTCCTTAGGGGTGGCCGTGTGTCCACTTGCCACCGGGTAGACTGTGTACACATTTGTCACCCTTATTATATAAAGAAAACAATATACTTAGTGATAGAGCCACGCTGCAGTACGTGTGTGAGTTTTTATGCGAGCGTAAATTGCAGTATAATACTTTAGTGTTTCATATGGAGAGTTGGTGAGTGACGAGATCCGGAGAACCATTTAACGGTAACGAGGCATTGTTCATGTCATCCATGTTAGCCCTAAGTGCGACAATGCATTTGCATTGTGATTTTTAATAGATTATAAATAAAATTAAATAAATAAAAGCAGGTTTCTATGGGCCACAGTCACTTACCATCAGTTGGTATGAAACGTTAAAAATATATTATTTGTGAAGTTTTCCCTTCATAGTTGATTGATATTGCAATTTAAAGTTTTTTTTTTTAAGTTGTTTGTCTAACCTAATTCAACAAAGACGAAACAAGCACAAATTAATAACATTACATCTAATATATAAAAAAAAATATGTTTGTTTGTTCGTATTTTATGCGCTGCCATGCCGTTTAGCAGATTGCGCTAAAACTTTGTTATCTTATTGCTTGCACATGCGCGAAGGTTAGGTATATGTACCTATAGTACAATTAACTTACAACAGGTGGCGCGCGTATCGTACCGACAAATTATTTGAAAATCATATTATATCATTCAATATCAATGAACGTATTATCATTTCTAATTAAGCCATTTAATTTAAAACAACATTTCCACAATTATTTCTTCTGCGGTAGTCACGCGCCGAGTACAAGCTAGTAACTAATAAAATGTAATTTATTCAATAAAATAATTTTAATAGTGAATTTGATCGGAAATAAAAAGATAAATATTTTTATGCTGTCCATACTTAAATAAGTAGGTACTCAGTGAGTACTACTCACTATCATTTATGACTATTCTTCAATGGCATACGTTATATATCGTAAGATATGTATATAATATTGATTAATTATTAAGTGGCGAAGCTTGCGAAGTCACTTATTGATTTCACGATGTCTGTCCGTCTGTCCCACGATTATCTCGAGAACGGTTTCGAATTTTCAAATTCTGTTTTCAGCAATCGATTACTGATCACCCAGGCATCTGAACCTCCTATTTTGAAACTGATTGCTCAACGGCAACCGTTAGAAACCGCTACAAAGCTGATTGCTTCGCCACTTTGCTATGCTGTTAGCTTGCTAAGTTTATTATCTGTATTTCTATTTGCAGCCTGAAATTTCTTCAAATCACCTAAGAGCGAGTTTGAGACATACCATACCAGTAAGAGAAAATATTAAACCAAAAGACGGAGATACCTTAAAAGTTGCAGATTTTAGTGGAATCGAAGAAAACGAAGTGAGTTAACATAATATTCATTACTCTAATTTAATTTCAAAAAATAGTAGTGAATAATAATATTAATGATGATTTCGTTTAGGTCATCAACGACCCTCTGGATTGCTGCGATGTAAGAGAGTTCATCACACCGGAATGGCGGTCGGAATGCGGATTTCAACTATCATGGAACACACAGGATCGCCTCGTGATAAATGAAGACTTGAACCTCGCTACAGATCATCCCACGACCACTGAGACGACGAAGGTCAAAAAAGTGACCGACGTGAAAATTGTACCGCTCTCGGTGAGATTCCAAAACTATAAAATTACGCTCTTACTCATAAAAATTACTGCAATTTAAGCAATGCTAAAAGTTGTTCTCTCTCTCTCTCTCTCTCTCTCTCTCTCTCTCTCTCTCTCTTTGAAGCGCTGCGTACATTTCAACTGATATCAAAATCATGCGCATACATTTGCATGTATGTACAACCACGGTAATAGCTGCGCCCTCTTTTTCCAAAAGAGGGTCGCTTCCGATTCGGCAGAAAGGCCTAATAAGCCAACGCCGTACATATACCCGGTGTAAGACAGGGTGACGTCATATCCCCGAAACTCTTCACCGCTGCATTGAAAGACGTTTTCAAGCTTCTGGACTGGAAAGGATACGGTATCAACATCAATGGCGAGTACATCACTTACCTTCGATTTGCCGACGATACAGTCCTTATGGCAGAATCGCTGGAGAACCTAAGCACTATGCTCAATGACCTCAATAGTGTTTCCCAACGGATAGGTCTTAAGATGAACATGGACAAAACAAAGATCATGTTTAATGTCCATGTCACACCTATGCCGGTAGTTGTTGGGAACACTAAGCTCGAAGTTGTTGACGAGTATGTTTACCTGGGACAAATAGTCCGACTAGGTAAGTCCAACTTCGACCGAGAGGTCAATCGGCGGATTCAACTCGGCTGGGCAGCGTTCGGGAAGCTAAGACACATCTTCTCGTCAGACATACCTCAAAACCTTAAAACGAAATCGTACAACCAGTGCGTGTTGCCAGTGATGACTTACGGAACTGAGACGTGGTCCTTCACTGCTGGCCGGATGAGAAAGCTCAAGGTCGCTCAGCGAGCTATGGAGAGGGCTATGCTCGGAGTTTCTCTGCGTGATAAACTTAGGAATGAGAATATCCGCAGTAGAACCAGTGTAACCGACATAGCCCATCGGATTAGTAAGCTGAAGTGGCAGTGGGCCGGCCATATAACGGCCGAAGAACCGACAACCGATGGGGAAGAAAGGTTCTCGAGTGGCGGCCTCGTACCGGTAGGCGAAGTGTAGGGCGTCCCCCCACGAGATGGAGTGACGACCTGGTAAGACATGCAGGAAGTCGATGGATGCAGGTGGCTCAGGACCGTGCTTTGTGGCATTCTTTGGGGGAGGCCTATGTTCAGCAGTGGACTTGTGAAGGGCTGTAATGATGATGATAATGATGATGTACATATACCCAAGAGTGGAGTTTAGTGGGTACACTTAGGGTTTAGGTAGTGTAGTCACAGTGAGAATGCTTTATGCATACCACGACAGCCGGCTGTCGTGGTATGCATAAAGCATTCTCCACTTCCTCGCGTAACGGGGTAGCCCTTTTCAATAGCTTCTGGGCGCAAAAAAAAACCACGTTAATAGTTGGTATGTGTGTGTTCTCACAATAAGTCGAACATGGTTTTGACTTGGTTTTTGCATCACTTGAAACGTGGGCAGTGCTCCATTTTTTTTTGTTCGACTTAACAGGTCAAGGTTGCTCAGAGAGCAATGGGGAGGACTATGCTTGGAGTCTCTCCATGTGACAGATTTCGTAATGAGAATATCACCAGTAGAACCCAAGTAACCGACAAAGCCCAACGGAACGGTAAGATGAAGTGGAAATGTACCGGCCACAGAGCTCGGAGAACCAACAACTGATGTGGAAGATTTACGAGTGGGAGCTTCGTACCGTTAAGTAAAGGTACGGACAGACGTGCTCATTACTAACACGAAAGCATGGTTTCAATGAGCAAGTGCTCATTAGTAGCACGTTTGTCGCAACGTTGCTAGTAATGAGCATGCTTATTTTGAGCGTGCTCAAAAATCAACCGACGTTTGATTTTCGAGTATACTACCTGAGGCGCTGGTATAAAGGGGCGTCCTCCGAGCGCGTTGGTTTGCTTATGAGCATGCTATTATCAAATCGACCTCGATCCCCGACATCTGCTGCTTCAATTTAAAATAAATTTTATTGAGTTCTATACGGATAGCACTGTTACTATATCTTTGTACATTCATTTTGGCCGAGAGCCTGGTGCTAAATAGCAATATCTGTCCAAAGTTTGCTTTGAGCATGCTTATTTATGAGTATGTTTTAAGCGTGCTTATTGCTGGCAAATGTGAATAGTTGCAGAGCATGCTAATTTTAAGCAAGTTTAAGAGCATGCTATTTTTTGAGCACGTCTGTCCGTAACTTAATTCGTAGGGCGGCCCTCCACTAGATGTTGTTACGACCTGGTGGATGTTTTTTATTGTAGATTGATAAACGACACTGAAACACTGTCCATATAATAGTCATAACGTTGATAATAAGTGAATACACATAGCCTTGATGATAAGTGTACTGTGCAATACTGCTCATAGGTACCTACATCTATCCTCGATTAAGCATTAAAATACGTTGTCACCCATAGGAATAAGAAAGAATGCTTCATTATCAATACATAGTTTCCCCGGTACTCAAAACTCACCTTGCGAAACGTAGCAGCATTAAGATCGTGCATCTCATGCAATCGTTATTATGCGATAGAGCCATGCTGCAGCTATATATGATTGCAGCACGAATGGGTCGGTTCGACCGCGGTAGGATCACGCTCTCACATAAAACCAGCGTAAAGTAGCACCTTCATGCTGCTGTGTTTCGTATAGTCAGTTTGGAGAATCGGATACGCGTTTCACTCGAAACGAGGTATTCCATCTAAGTCACGGTATCCACTTAACATCTGGTGGGCTGTTTGCTTGTTTGTCACCCTTATTCTAACTTTTTAAACAATGTGAAAATTGCAGTGCGAACAAGAAACATGCATATTCAGACGTGTTGGGGTCGTGTCAGAGTCGGGTGCAGTGGACACGTTGGCGTTATCTCGCCTGCTGGACAAGATGGCGGCGGCGGACTCCCGCTGGGCGAGCGCGAAGGCCCGCGCCTATACCAAGTGCCTCTCTAAGCCCGTGACGGAGTACGAGGCCGACTGTGATATCAACAAAGTTCTAGCTTGCACTCTTGACGTACTTACTGAGGTATGTAGTAGTTTTATTAGTTGGTAATGTACTATAGTGGTATATTGGTAGAGTCGGATACTACTAGTGATTACCAGAATCATAGAAGAGAAAAAAAGGAAGTGTTGTTTTAAAAATAATTCTAATTAAAATATAAAATTAATTATGCTTTTTAAGTATTTTATTGGACTTATTTTATAATTTTTCAGAACTGCCCTGACGCTAAAAAAGAAGATAGGTGCAGGTAATGTGTCAATTATATAAAAATACGAACTAATATCAAATATAAGTTCATGTTCGAATTTTAGATAAACTAGTAAGCTAACTTTTTTTTTTAGTAAGTAACAGAAATAGTTTTAATTTCTTTTTTAATTTTTATACTATCAGATTTGGGTTAATTGAGAGAAAATATCTCGGCGAAGATATATTGATAATCTCAGACCAACAAAGAAAGTTGGACAGAACACACCATGCTCAACGTCTTTACACGCATTCACGCACACATCTTTCTTCTTTCTTTTTTTATCAACCTGCAAAAGTCCACCGCCGGATGCATATACATCACATAATATGCAACTGTAGGCGTACACAGATGCACTCTCATAGTCTGACGTGACGGCAATCCGATAGCAGGGAGATCAGGCGCAGAACCAACAGCTTACTGCGATGAAACGTGGCCAACTCACTGACTCCGGAATGCTACTGAGAATTTCTTGATAGAAAAACCTAAGACTTGATGTTTGGCCGACTCAGGATTCGAAACCGGGACTTCGTGATCAGTAATCACGTTTGCCACCATTAGGTTAACGAGGAAATTAAAATATATTATTGTCAAAGTTTTTTTTTATAAGATATGGATGACAAGCGAGCACCCAGTCCACCTGATGGTAAGTGGTTACTGTAGCCCATAGACATCTATATCTATCCTCGTTTGTAAATTAAAATGCAGATAAGGTAAAAAGTAAGAGTTGCATTGAAGAAATAAGAAGCATATAAATTGAATTTGGCCATCACTGGAAAATGGTAATATCACTGAGACAATTGATATGGTGACTAAAACTGGAAGTTTCAGGGTCCATTCTACCCGCAACTCTATTCTTACTGCATATCATAGGCCTACATATGCCTGATATCAATGGCTGCGCAGAGTGTTTTTGCAGTCGAGATCAAATCCAGCTCGAAGGAGAAGCTATGGTTGAGCGTGTAAATCTCTCTTTGCAAGTAGTCTTTTCAATTTCCATCCAAAGCTAAGAAGTTTGATTGATTGAGGGCGTCCACGACTTTTTCTGCCACCAGGGCGGCGCCACTAGAGAGTGAGGTATAAAATTTGACAGATTTCATAGCGGGGAAGTTAATTTGTTCGAAAATTATAAAAGTTATTGTTTCTTTTTGTACTATAAGCTATATTTTATATTAATAACATTAAAAATAAATATATAAAAACCACAGATATTTATAAAACTAGGAAAATTAAAAAAAGTTAAAAATGTGCAATAAAATTAAAGAGCTCTAGAAACTGATAAACTTGTATTAAAAAACGTGTAACAAGAAACTTTACCTCAGTGTAAATTAGCGACATCTGGTGAGCTGAAAATTATTAGCCCTCATTAAAACTTTAATTTGTTTGATTTCTAATATTACCGTTGAGTTAAAAAGTTAAAGTTACAGCATTTATACATCCCACTGCTTCCTCATTTCTGATAGGGTTTTTAGGGCAAGGAAATGTCCGCCGCGTTGCCCCAATGCGTTTTGGTGAACTTCACATGACTTAGTTTTTTTTTCTTATTTCTCAGACATGCAGGTTTCCTCACGATGTTTGCCTTCACCGCCGAGCACGTGGTAAATCAGCACTTAAAATTGCAATTAACAATTTCATTGGTGCCGGCGGGGATCGAACCCGGGTTGCTCGCGTACTGTGAAATTTACCACGAGCGCCAACCATCTGAGCTACCACGGCTCTCCACTCATTGCGTATTACTGCTTATTATTACTGCACAATCACTCTACGAAAACTAATACTAAACTAACCGAAAGTACCGAAGGAACTGGTAAATCCCGGTACCGTTGAACACTGGTACAACAATGCTCGTTACTTAAAAATTGTTCCGGTTCCGTTTTCTCTAGTCTGAGTATATAGTTAAATGTATGTTTATTTTTTAGGCATTCAAGCGGCTTACAAAGTAACATAACTTGTCAAATAAGCTCATCTAAAATTAGACCGGTAAGTAAACTGTATCTGTACCCCGATATAAAATATAATTTACAATTTGAGTCTTAATTATATTTTTGAAAAGTCTGAGAAAAAAGTAAGAAATTATTACGTATACGCCCGTAACGCCTAGAATAATTGTCAGATGTTAACAAATAATGTTACAATTAGGTATATACAAAAAAACTTTAATATTGTTTTCTTTCCTTGATTTATCACTTAGCATGAATATAATTTCACTGATTTACAATAATCCTTGTTTTGACCAGAGCTATGCTAACAAAGGTAGCGAACTCTTCAGTACACAATACGACGTCACTATTCGTAAAAGTTGGAAAAGCTATAAAAAATTACTGTGTTAAAATCATTAAAATTAGTGTTTGTAAAATTACTTGATGTATACAGCAAAATTATAAAAACGAATAAGTTAAAATAAGTTTACATGGCGAAATTTTAATGAATTTGTTATAATTTTGACAAATGCACAAGTAACTTAAACTCATAACAATTCTGTGCTTAAACTAGGTTTTATGATGTCATCATAAAATAAATATGGCAGACTTGAACTCAAAACTAGGGACCTGAGAAATTCATATTATGCAAATGTACCGTGTATGGTCTCACATGGAAGGTATGCCAGTAGATTAAAATAATATTTTGTCATTTGTACTCTATATTTTAGAACTTAATTAATAATATTTTTTTTTATACTTGCGAGTAGTTGCTTAGTAAACACGTATCTATTTAGCTTCACCTATAAGTCGTTAATACAAGTGCAAAATTTTCAATATTTGATGTGTGGCAAGCACCGTTTTGTGCGTGAACTTATGACCTATTTCATTGTGAAAAATCTTGCATAACAGTTCTAGTACCGTGGAGTAATCTTGTAAAAACTACGAGTATCTCAACATTACTAAATCTGCGGGTAATTATAAAGTGTCGGTGATTTGTGTACACAAGTAAACGATTTATGTAAACAACAACAACGAGTATGCGTCTTCTCCGGTGAATGCTTTTGTTTCTAAAGACGAATTGCTAAACTCAGGTAGTATCGGACATTATATAAAATTTATTATTAAAAAATAAAATTAAAGTGTAAGTACGATTAACGCCTACAAATTTGTATTCAGCAACTTTGCAGTAAAGTGTATTTTGTAACAAGTCTCAGTGATAAACAATAGTATGATGTCTACCGACAACAATGATTGGGGATGCTGTGGTGATAACCTTGACACAGAGGAGTACATTCAGTGCCAGAAATGCTCAAAAAAGTTCATTTAGCCTGTTTTAGCTCACCCTCCATAATAAAAGCTAGTGAGTTCTCGACATGGGAATGTCCTCTGTGTACCAGCCTAGGACCCAAAACTGTCCATAACGACAACACGCCGGTGCGACTTAACCCTAATGTCACGGTACGGGCTTCTAAAAGACAGACACTGCAGTCGTCTCCAATAATAGGAGCGTCAGCTGATGAAGTTAGAGGCATCATGCAGGAGTATTGTAAAAGCATTACATCTAAAATCGATTCCCTTACTATTTCCATTAGTTCTGAACTAAAATCAGTTAAGGAGGAGATGCTGGAAATTAGGAGCTCTATGGACTTCATGAATTCCAAATATGAATTGTTGATCAAAGACCACAAAGAAACTAAACAGGCGATGGTTGATCTCCAAAAAGAAAACAATGCTCTAAAGACCAATATTAAGGACCTCACGGCGCGTATTAATACCATTGAACAGAACGCACGAGCTATGAATGAAGAAATTCAGTGCATCCCTGAGAAAAAAAATGAAAACTTGATGCAAGTAGTGACTCAACTGGATACTGTACTTAAGTGTAATGTTAAAAGCGAAGATATTATCAACTGTACACGTATCGCCAACATCAAACATAATAGTACGCGACCAAAATCAATTGTAGCCCAATTCGCCAATAAAAAGATTCGTGATGAGTTCTTGGCAGCATCCATCAATTTCAACCGGAAAAAGGCAATGCAGGATAAGCTTAATGGCTCGCATCTGGGATTCAACGGAGAAAAGTCTCCAATATTCATTGTGAATCATTTGTCCCCTATGAATAATTCTTCACGCTTCATGCCGCTGCTAGAAAGATTGGTAAAGAAAAAGGATACAAACATGTGTGGGTAAAATAAAAATACGCCCGTTCCTAACGGCTATATGCTTATAAGATAATTCCGACTATATGCTTATAAGAGATATGGACTCATTGAATAGTATTAAGTAGTTGTAATAATAATAATTATGTTAATTTTATACAAGTAATTGGATAAAAATCTATGAAATTCACTTCTATATCTATATATTATCAAAATGTTCGAGGTTTACGCACTAAAACCCACATATTTTTACAAAACCTGATTATTTCAAATTATCATGTTATTGTTCTAACAGAGACCTGGCTGAATAGTAAAATACTTGACTCTGAACTTTTTGGTGAGGGATATGCTGTATACAGAAGGGACCGAGAAATGTCCGGCTTTAACGTGAACAAAGAGGGGGATGGGGCACTAATTACAATTTCTAAACGTTTAAATTCGAAGCGTATGCAAAACTGGAAAAGCGAATGTGAGGATGTTTGGGTTGTGATTGAAGGTACTCAGCCACTAGCTCTGTGTGCGGCATATCTGCCACCCCCTGTGCAAATGTCAATGCTAAAACATTTTATCGATAACTTTAGCCATGTTTCCGGACTCTTTCATTTTCTCATTTCATTCACATGTCTGTGTACTTGGTGGTTTTAATTTGCCGACCTTAAACTGGAATTTGGTCGGGAGTCCATCTTATAACTTATCATCACTGCATCAGTATTTCATAGATTTCGTCAATGTAAACAATTTAACACAGCATAGCTCTATAACAAACAGTATGGGTAGAACTCTTGATTTGGTCTTGGCCAATGTGTCCTCCTGCGTGGTTGCTGAGGCCGTAGACATTTTGTGTCCTATTGACCCACTACAGCCACGTCACTCTATAGAACTCTCTCCATTAGAGAGGCCAAAGCTACAGTCCAATTCTGTGAGCAGGTTTAATTTTCATAAAGCAGATTACGTTGCTATTAATGACTATTTAGCTGAGGTGGATTGGAAGTCTCTTTTTTATGGGAACAGTGATGTAAATAAAAAACTTGAATTATTCTTGGAGGTTGTTAACAAAGTCATTCATAAGTTTGTACCAATTGTCAAACCAAAAACTAATAAATATCCTCCCTGGTTCAGTAAGGACTTGATTAGTCGCTTACGAGAGAAAAATAGGGTTAGACTAAGGTACAAAAAATACAGCAATCTCCTGGACAGGATATCATATCGTCTACTGACCGACCGCTGCGAGAAATTAGCTTCTGAATGCTACAACGCATATATTCGTAAAATTGAGGATGGAATATTAACGAATCCGGAACTGTTCTGGTCTTATATTAAAACCATACGTGGTGGTTCTGGAACATATCCATCTATGATGACGGACGGTAATACGGTGATACAAAACGGTAATGACATATGCAACAGCTTTGCATCTTACTTCTTCTCTAGTTCCTCCAATCTTGGTGTCCCATGTGACATAAACTCTGACGAGACGAGACTTTTTAGTACATCAGTGGGGGAGGAATCGATTGTTTTTCAACTCTAAATCTTTCCCGCAAGCAAATATATAAAAAATTTGTCAATATTGATATAACGAAGGGCACTGGGAGTGATAATATTTCACCGTTATTCATTTCACGATGCGCATCATGCCTGGTGGAGCCTTTATTTATTATCTTTAACAACTCATTAAGTTCTGGGGTTTTTCCCAAAGCTTGGAAGGTATCTAAAGTGGTACCAATGTATAAAGCAGGTGATGCTCAGCTCATTAGCAACTATAGGCCTATTTACATATTGCCCTCATTGGCTAAAGTATTCGAGTCTCTAGTCTGCCATATTCTTCAAGCCTACTTCGACAAGTATTTAAACGACAACCAACACGGCTTCACAAAAGGTAGGTCAACTAATACTAACCTGGTTACGTATGTGGAGGACATGTAAGTCGCATTGATGGCAATAAACAAGTAGACGCGATATATACAGACTTCAGCAAAGCTTTTGATAGAGTAGTCCATAGACGGCTTCTGGCAAAACTGTCTGCATACGGAATAGGGGGTTCTGTTCTAGCTTGGTTCGAATCTTATCTCTATGGACGTTATTTCTATGTAGTCGTTAATGGTTTTAGTAAAGAGCTACGAGATATCACTTCTGGTGTTCCGCAAGGTTCACACCTAGGCCCTATTCTCTTTAATATCTTTGTAAACGATATACCTAATTACATAAAATACTCGTCCCCGTCGATGTTCGCAGATGACCTAAAACTGTGGAAAGTTATTGAAACACAAGATGATGTTTTGCATTTACAAAAAGATCTTGATGCGTAGTGAAATTGTGTCAGACGAATGGAATGGAGCTCAATATCAATAAATGTGATCACATTAAATTCACTAGAAAATTGAATCCTAATCCATCCGTCTACGACATTAATGGGATTCGATTAGGAGAAAAGACAGTAGTAAGGGATCTGGGGGTGCTTATCGATAGTAAAATGACATTTGTTCCACATATTGACTACATCATGGAAAGGGCGTCCAATATGTTGTATTTTATTATCAGGAACGCTAGAATATTCAAGCACCATTCCTCGAAAATTGCGCTATGCAATAGCTTGGTCAGATCGATCCTTGAGTATGGAAGTGTGGTCTGGCGTCCAATTATGCCATTCACACACTTCGTATTGAACGCATTCAAAAACGATTAGTAAAACACTTAGTGTTCTCACACTTCTGGCATAAAAGATTTAGGCCATACAAGGACCTACTAGAGCTCCTAAAGATGCAGAGCTTGGACAACCGCAGGGATCTACTTGACCTATCCTTCTTTTTCAAGATTATAAGATATTAGTTGCGTTGTCCTGCACTCCTAATGAAATTTAATTTTAAAGTTCCGTCACGAATGCCTCGTAAGCCCATTGAACCTCTCTCTCGTCCATTTCGCAAAACAGTTTTGGGAGCCAATTCACCGGTTTCCCGAATTTCCCAACTATATAATAAGTGCGGAGGGTCAATAGATGTTAACGTTATGTCTCTAGCTAAGTTTAAGGCCACAATAAATGATACATTATTTAAGTAACTAGGTGTAAGTCATTGTTTCATATACATAATATTATTTTGTTCTTTCCTAAGTTTTTGTATTTTTTTGTTTTTTACTCGGTAACTTTTTAGTAACTTGAAGCATGTTTAATTGATTGTACAATTAGTATATAAGTGAATGTGTGTTTACCATTTCTGCATTGTTGTAACAATCGTTGGTGTACCTAAAGAAATAAATAAATTATCCTGGTAGAATATTAGATTTAATTTTTATATTAATTTAGCAAAATTTATTACTTTTCTACACACTATTCCTTTTTGATGTTTTTCACTGTTCCTTTAATGATTGGATGTTTTAGTGGTAAAGAAGTTTCGTGTAAAATTATATCGATATCTATTCGTAATTTATTGGTCCGGCCAAACGAACAGGTTGCAATATAAGTATATTACATTTTATATTACTTAAATAGTGAGGATAAATGTAGTAGGGGTTTGTTTTACTTGTTATTAGACTACTAATAACTACTATTATTTTTAGAAAAACCGGCGTCAACTTTGTAATGTCCCCGATTTTATCGAATACGAGATACTGAAGGAATGTGGAGTGAGCTCCATCGCTCGGCTTGAATACGCTCCCGAGACACCCACACCCAAGCGTGGGTGGTTGCCAGGTGGAAGGGTAAGCAAATATTTTCTGTTATTTGATTTTCTGCCGACTTCCAAAAAGGAGCCGGTACTCAATTCGACTGTATGTTTTTTTTTTTGTTTTTTTTTTTTGTTTTTTTTTTATGTGTGTTACCTCAGAACTTTTTTCTGGGTGAACCGATTTCGATGATTCTTTTTTTATTTGAAAGCTGGTACTTCTCGTGTGGTCCCATATGAATTTGATCAAGGTCAGACCAATAGTTTTTAAGTTATTCTTAAATATTAAATAACTTATATTGAAGTCGGCTGAACAAAATTTTTAATTTTAAATTATTTTATTATACGTTTATCGTTTTTGTTTGTTGCTATAATCTAATGCTAAATGGTGGGTTGATAGCTTGTCATTAGGCACTGTTCCATCGCCAACGATGAATGAGAAGCGAGTAGAGCTAAAAACTAGATAACAGTTGGTGAGCAGCAAGAAGCGAGTGTACACACTTCAGTGCCGATAGTTTTATCGCTGAGCTATAAGCTATAAGCGAGTCCACTCAGATTCGCACTGTAGAGTAAAATGACCGCTAGCTGGTCTCTCGGCGTGAGTTCTGACCACCAAGCGAGCATCGCTTAGCGAGTTTTATCTTTGTTAGCTCTTGTGACAAATTAGTGGAGAGAGAGTTCCCGCTGCAGGGTGAACAGCCAGAGATCAACTATTAATATATTATGTATATCTTTTGTTGACACGGGATCTATATCAAATGTTCGTTTCTTGAGCGAGAAAATAGTCGATAGCTAATTGCTTCTTCATCGGTGGTAGGACAACTGCCTTAAACAATAAACTAATCTTGAAACTAACTATTTTTTTATAGGATAGGGTGACAAACGAGCACACATGGTAAGTAGTTGCTGTGGCCCATAGACATCTACATTTATCCTCAATGAAGAATCAAAATGTAGATGCGCCTCACCCGTGAGGAGTAAGATGGAATGCCTCTTTTCCAGTAAAAAGGGTCTCTGGTTCTCTACACTCACCATACGAAACACAGCAGTGAGAAGCTGCCATTTTACGCTGGTATTCTGTGAGAGCGTGGTCCTTCCTATTCGTGCTAAAACTATACTACTAATATAGCCGCAGCATGCCTCTACCACGTATAAGACTTGAGACACTTGGTTTTAACAAGTGTTAGTTTCAAGATTAAACAGATTAAAATAAAGGGGTGTTATATATTTCTAGTGTGTATCTGTGTATCTGTGTGTCTGTGTATCTATGTGTCTGTGTATCTGTGTGAGTTTATATCTGTGTATCTGTCTGTGGCATTATAGCTCCTGAACGGATGAACCGATTCTGATTAAGGTTCGTTTGAAAGTGTTCGTAGGTATATTTCAAGAAAATTTGTTCAGCCGTTTGAAGATCATCAGCGCTTTTTGTTTCGGATTGACATAACTAATTTAAATACTATTTTCTACCAGTGTAAAGAAGAACTTCCGTCAACAACGTGCATCATGAGAAAAATGGATGTCCTTAACAAATACAACTTTATGGACTATTTCAAGTTGAAGGACAAATTACACGACTTCTGCCAAGGCGCGTGGTATCCAATGAGGGCTACATACACGGCTGCATTTAGTTCTTTGCCGTTGTACAAGGAACACTGCAGTTCACAGCAGAAGCTGCTGAATGTTCTAGACACTATGTTGATAGTAAGTTATTTTCTATTTACTCAATTTTCGTTTAATAGACTTTTTTTTATAGAATAAGGGTTACTAACAATCTCACACTGTCCAATTGATGGTAAGTGGGTGCTGTGGCCCATTAATAATCAAAACGCATTTCAGTAAAAAGGGTCTCCGGGTCTCTACACTCACCATACGAAACACAGCAGCATTAAGCTGATATTTAACGCTGGTATTCTGTGAGAGCATGGTCCCCGGTCGAGCCGACCCATTAGTTGTACAACCATAATATATCTGCGGCGTGGCTCTACCGCGTCAAAAAACCCTTTAGCGCTATAAACGATGTATCTTGATGTTTTATTAAGAATTGATTGATTTCGATAATGTAATAGAGACACGCTTACCGTATTATCACTACAATACAAATGGTTCGGCGCTACCGGGATAAACCACGCTCTCACGTAACAGCGGCGGTACAAGCGTTATATAGCATCTAAATGCTGCTGCGTTTCGTATCGTGTCATCTTGGTACTGAGGGGTAGATATAGGTGTGTCTATTAGCTATACATTCACTAACTATGATGTGAACTGTGTGCTCGTGTTTTTTTTAAATCTATTGTTCTCAGTTACCGTTGTTGTCAATTAGATTGTGTGACGCCTTCTTTATTTAAATAAAAGTCGCAACATTTGTGTTTATTTCCAGACTTGTCCTATATCAAAGAGAAGGCAGAGTGCTAACTGCAAGCAAATGTTCACGGACCTCTCCACCACTGTACCCGGATATCAGCATAACATTAACAACACCAATCTGGAGGAACTTCTAAGACGTTTCCAGCATGTATTCCTTCCCGGACAAACTCCTCATTTGAACTATCCACTGCCCCAGAGAACGGTTGTTTATCCGAGGTACAAATTCAACGTGGACATCCTAAGCAACATGAAAGAGCCGGTAGTTCGTGTGATAGACGTGACACCAACTAAACAGCCGACTGTTGAAAGGAAGCCTCTGGTGCTTTTGCCTGTGTATCAGCGTATGCAACAGAAACTAACGAGACCTAACAACAATGATGGTGTGTGGAGAGGTTTTACTCCGATATGATGTAACGTATGTTGAATAAATGAAGTTTACGTTTACAAATGCCTTTTGTTATAATTGCTTAAGTGTTTTAAAATGACAAGCCACATTTGCGTTGACCCTGTCGCGCGGTTGTCTGCTCAGATGGTTAAAACCAGTTAACTGGACTAGACTTTAATTTTTCGGTACACTATGTCGGCGCTCTGGTATAAAATTATTAAATTTGGAGGAACCAACTGTCTTCGCTTTTATATTTATTGTACTAGGCTGACTTTTAAATATATATATATATATATATATATATATATATATATATATATATATATATATATATATATATATATATATATATATATGAACCTGTCGAAATAAAGGGAATTAATAGGGAAAACTGACGTTAATACAAACACCGGGTTATTTATTAATTTAAAGCAAGTACTACCGTTGCATTGTCTTGCGAGGCTGACATTATTGTGTGGCTTCACTTTAAAGATTAAACAACTGAAAACGTTAAGGAACAAAAATAAATAAAAGAAAACAAGCTGAAGCAATATTTTATTGTATTTATAATTATATACTGTCACAGTACTTATTGTACTTATATTGTATAAACTTTTTAATTTATTTATTGTACCAAAACGTCGTCCGTCAGTCTTTCAGAAACTGCCGTCCCATAAAAGACCGTTGAGTAAAATAACATGATATTGAGGTTTGCGAAAATAGAAAATTAAGTATTAGACTTAGAAAGATGCTCAAGAACTCTTTTGTTAAGTATAAGTTCTGTAATTTTTTATGCTGATGTCAGTTTGTAAAAAAATCGTTCTGTTAGAACTGATCGAATTGAACGAATGTTATTCTAACGGTCTTTTAAAACTCGGACGACAGAAATGTCGAATGTTGCATCGCATTTGCACTTTTTAACAATCAATCTAGATATAAACATTCTTAAGATATATCTTATATTATATCATTAATCCCGTTGCTATAGTTTACAACATTCATTTTAATTATTTTATTTTAAATTAATTTCGTTTAAAATAAATATTTTCCCTGAATGTTAAAATGTGATTTTTCATCCGTTTGAATAAAAATTAAACACAAAAATGCATCGTTTTTAATTAAATTAATAACCAAAATTTTCTTATAAAAAAGGAATACAATTTTCAATAAATTAAGATAGAACAAAGCAAGAAAATGGGCACGCGAGTTTAACTCAAAATTTTATCCTATAAGAAAAAAAAATAACAATCAAAAATAATACGTAGGTACATACCAAAAGTATAGTAAATTTAAAAAAAAAATTAAGGCACCAAAGGTTTTTAGTTCCATAAAAGATGTAATGATTTCAAATTAATTGTACAAGTTTGTTCTGTTTAATAATTTTTCGTCTAATTAAAGCCTTATAACATTATAATGGCAAGGTATAAAACAACTGAACTATTCGAGTGTTTGTATTGAATACTATTATACATTCTGATTACAATATGTAGTTATTCTAATTGATTTTATATTTACATAGTTTTTTATTATTCCATCACATACAATAAAACTTAAATCACAAGTTAATATAAAATTTTCTATCAAAGAAAAGTAAACGTAAGAAATTCACAAATATAATTTTTGCACTAAATGTGCTTGAAATTATAAAAGAATTCTTAGTTGTATAATTATAAATATATAGGAAAAACCATATCAAGTTTAACTTTCAAATGATAAGTGTGATTATTTAGTTGAGAAAATTACACGTTTCTTAATAAATAAACACTAAAAAATTGATCACATCAACAATCAATTTCACAAAGATATAATCCTACTTGCCGTTTTAGGCTACGGCAAATCTTTTGAACGCTAGGTATAATATTCCAGGTTGTGGTAGGCACTTGCATGGCTAGCGAAGCCAAATTTTGTCTTAAAAATACAATGACATGTAAAGCAGTGGGAGGGTTTGTGACGAGTTTCCGGAGATGGCGTTTAGCATCAAGATCTTCAACGATTTCACAAAGCTAAATCTACCGTCGTTATTACAAATAGATTACATAAATTCGTATATGTTGTCCTAAATCAAGGCATGTTAAGGCTGATACTGTCAAAGTTCCTAATAGATCGGTTATCGCCGTTTAAACTGTGGGAGCCAACGTTGATCCTTGTGAGAATCTCTTGTTGGAGAGATTTTAGGGTTCGAACGGCGGATAGGTCTGTGGGTGGCGCTAACAGCAAAGCCCTGCGTGCGTGTGGTAACGCTTCCGAGGGTTTGTTGAGTGCGAGAATAGCACGGGCCATTGCGTATGCGCATTCAAACGCGTTCGGTCTCAGAACGGATGCCCGAGCCGCTAAGTCTAACGCTTCTGATGGTTCCTGTAATACAAAATTAATTATTCGTTATATATCTAAAGTAAATTGTGGTGGCAGTGTAAGAATATCTACTACATCACATCGTCCCGTGGCTGTCTTATAGGCGACAGAGGGAAACTGAAACAGGAGATGGACTGCAGCATCTTCCTGATTATTAGTCAATCAATATTAGTTTATACGTGGTAGAGCCATGCTGCAGCTATATTAATAGTTGTTCGCGCAAAACTCTGTTGTCGGAATCGACACCAGATGTCACTCGGCTCGGCGCGATTCCGGTCTGAAGTTCTTCCGAGCGTCACAGTGGCGCGCGGGTCGCAAGCGAGTCAGTCATCTGCCAGATGTGCTAATGTTTGCACGCTGTTAATTTTGTGCGGGAACCGCGGAATAGTTAGGGCGTCTAGTAAATATCCTGTCTAGGAATTATAACGCGCATTCCCTGTTTGGATAGCCTTTCCCGGGACTTATTGGGTCCGACTCAGAATCTGTATAAGTGCATTCGACAATATAAGCTAGTGCGGCCTCGGTATTTAGAACTGTTGCCACGCGAAACGGTAGTGACCTTTGACCTAGAAACTCCGGGCGTGTTTTGTGCGGTAACCTTATACCCCGCGATAGTTAGTGGCTTCTGTAAGCTAGTTAATCGTACGATAGAGTTAAGTGACTGGCATCGTGGTGAACCAAGAAAGTGACTGTGGATAACCTCGAAAGGCCCCCTCAAGTTGGAGCGGTATCGACGCTCGGGCTGCTGCCGACGGCTAAGGTCTAGGTTCAATCACCATCAGTCACACCCAGATACACACCACATCACCATTCTTTCCCTTGCACTACACAACCACATGCGACCTGACCGACTCCGGAGGAACCAGTCGCCTTGGATAGAGGTAAGTGAACTCCGCCAAATTCCTTCCGGTCGACTGGCCGTAGTATAACGCTCCCCCATATATTTAGTGTAATTAGAGAACTTCCACGTGGCCTTAGGAGGCCCGACCTACGTTTGCTCGGGAAGTCTTCTGCTGATGGGCCCCGGGGGATTGGATCCTTTAAGGGAGCAACCGTAGGCCGTAACAATTGGTAGCAGAGCGCGGTTCCGGGTTCGATTCCCGGTCGATCCCGACTATAGTGTTTGATAAACATTAACCAATTTTGGTGGCAGGGAGCGTTGGTGTGATTGGTTTAATTTGCATCTACAATCACGCCCGTCCGTAATACGTAAAAATATTTTTTTTGTACGTAATAATAGAATTATTTTCCTTTGTTGCTTTGTTGCTTGCCTTTTTTTTGGTTAGAGGGTAATTTGAAAAGCCGCGCCCTAGGTTGTGCAAGCGGGAGATTTTCTAGAGATATACGTCATGTAGGTAGATGGTTATTTTTACGTAATCGGTTAATTATCGTTGTCGGAGAGTTGTAGTGGATTACTTATCGAAGGTTCGATTTCCGAGCTAGGCATTTTTTGTTGATCGACCGTGATGTGTATCTTCGTTTATACTGTAAGTTGTATTTGAACTAAATAGTAGTAATTTGTATTTGCGCAATTTGAATTTAACTTGATTCGATCGCACTAGTATTTGTTATTTGTTAATTTGATTTGTGTCTTTTTTGTGCTAATTTGTATTTGGTTGATACGTAGCAAGTAGTTCGTATTTGTGTAATTTCTATTCAACGCGATTTGATAGGAACTGCATTTATTAACTGTTAATTTTTTGTTGTATTTTTTATTTGTTATCTTTGTAAACTGTGCTCAAGCCGCGTCGTAATTTGTCTTTAATAGTGATGACATCGCCCAAGCTACTGATCCGTTGTTTGCGGACTGAGCTACGCTGGGCCACAAGCGCCCATGCTTTGATAGGTCGACCGGATAGGGTCCATAACTTGATGAAGCGGTTCGAGCAGGTGGATGCTCGAAGGGCCGCAGTGGAGGAGGCTTACGCTGAGCTCGAGGATTCGGATGTGGAGAAGGGAGTCCTGGACTCCTGCTTCGCGGACTATGAGCAGTTCTTGTGGCTCACGGACGAGTTGATCGAGGCTGAAGGCAGGTATGCCGAGGAGGCGCGTGAAGCTCGGATGAGTAACCTGTCCGAGTCCTCTCTGAAGCAGCTTCAGCCGGAGCTGTTGGGACGACTCCCAACTCTGGACCTGCCAAAGTTCTCCGGGGTCCTTTCCGAATGGCTGACCTTCGTTGGTCTTTTCGACAGCCTAGTGGACGCCCGGAGTGACTTGACCCCGAGCCAAAAGATGGCGTACCTCCTGGCCTCACTGGAGGGGGAGGCCCTGGGCGTCGTCGGCCACTTGAAATTGTCGGACGACGCCTACCAGACTGCTCGGGACCTCCTAGCCAGAAGATACGCCAACGTCCGGCGAATTGCAGACGAGCATGTTAAGCAGCTTCTAAGCCTCCCGCTGCTTAGTGACCGGGCCAGACTGCGTCCGGACCTGTTGGATCCAGTCTTGGTGGCCTGTAATACTTTGAGGCGGCTGGGTTTACCAGTGGGCGAATGGGCTTTTTTGTTGCTCCGCATCGTGCTGTCCCGTCTACCTCTCGACCTGCGAATCCATTTTGAGGAGAGGTACGGCGGGGACGAGGCCTCCTATATTCCGCCCTTCTATGACCTGCTGCGGTTTTTGGAGGAGCAGTGCCGGCAGATCGAGAACGCGGCGGGCACCGTTGACGACTTGCGAGACGTGCCCAGTGAGAGGCTGAACCCGCCAGGCAAGTCGTCGTCAACCCCCCCCTGCTCCTATTGTCGAGCATCTGATCACCGGGTAACGTCGTGCCCGAAATTATTAGGTAAGCCGGTTCCAGCGAGGCGAACTATCGCCAAGGAGCGCCGCTGGTGCTGGTCATGTCTGGGAGGGCACCTCCAGCGAGACTGTCCGCATCGACGGCCCTGTCTGCATTGCCAGGGCAATCACCATGCCGTTTTGTGCCTGGGTGCGAACGGCATCTCCTCTCGGGGCTCTGCCAGGCCCTCGACCCCCACGGGCGGGGGCGCTCAGCCACGCCCTCTGCAGGGTGACTGTCGGCGCCCGCCGTCCAGCCACCAGGCCCCTAAGTTTGAAAGGAGTCCCTCCCCCGACCAGTCGGGGGGTAATTCCCCCAGGGGCGGGGGTGTCATCACCCCCCCTCAGCGTGTGGAGAGGAACTTCACGGCCACTCATCGGTCCGCTGGACCCTTCTCACTTCCGTTAGCTGAGTGGCCGCGACTGGTGTACCACTGTTCCCCATTTGATGGAGGCGGCCCTGTCTAGCTGCTGCCTTAGTTCCCACCACGGCCGCCTCCACTGAGCCTTAAGCCGTCAACGGTCCACTTGTCAAAATGTTCTGTTGCCGACGGCCTCAGTGAAGGCGTACAACCCGAGTGGCAACTGTTAAAGGTTGTGCTCTATTTATCTCGGGTTCACGCCATGTGGCCTCCCCTTGGTGGTGGGAAGATTAGGGTCCCCCTGTAGCGTTGAATCACGCTGTCAAGGGGTATTAGATTTGGTTTGGTCGAGCACTTAGTCAAAAAAAAATACTTGAATTAAAATTAAAAATTGCTTTGGGCTTTCCGCGAAATTCTCCTATTTGTAGCGGTTTAAATTAAAAGAATTGAATTTAATCTACTCCTTTAAATGCTACTGCATGTGTTTTGTACATATATTTAATCACTGTATTTGATTGTTGCGTTTGTTTGCTGAAAGGAAAATTTGAATTCATCTGAAATGGAATGGCGCACTATTTGAAAAATTATGTTTATGTTTAGGATAGTGTTTAATCATTTTTGTTTTCTAAGAAGTAGGGCTGTCCCTTACGTTATTGTTTTGTTTAATTTGCAAGTTGACCTATGCGCATCGGTGATTAATTTGGTTGAATTAATTCTGTAGTTGAACATTGATGCTTTTGAAAAATTTGTTGAAATATGAGCATAGGACTACTTGTCTAACAGGCTAGCTAGTTTTGGAGATTATCAGATTGAAATCAGCTGCCGCACTATTTTAGTAAATGATAATATGGTGGGTGGCCTGGCTAGGCCTACTTGTTGAAAATTCATACTAGGGACTATCTGTGCGTTTCGTTCGGCTCTCCACAGACGACGTTCATGTGGAATTTGTGGGTGCTCTCTGCACTGAAGCTTAGGAGGCCGCTCGAGGCCGCTTCGTGTCGCGTCACTGTTTGCAGAGCTGATCCGGTCGGATTGCGGAACTAATCATAGGGGCACAGATGGTGTTTGAAAGAGGTCGTCGGACTTCTGTCCAGTACAGGACTTATTAAAGTGCTGCGATGCCCAGGAGGGGCATCCAGTGGAGGCTGACCCTCCGGCTTGCCACATTAGGGATATCTTTGAGGCGTTGATTAGGGTTGCAAGACCTAATAGATTGCCTAAGGTGGCCTAGTTTGGTTGTAGATTCGGTCTTGCAACTTGCAGTCTCGACCTTGTCCCGCTGACCGGTTGCTCGCGGACCTAAATCCTTATGTCCGGGACGGGGGTTTGTTCGCGCAAAACTCTGTTGTCGGAATCGACACCAGATGTCACTCGGCTCGGCGCGATTCCGGTCTGAAGTTCTTCCGAGCGTCACAGTGGCGCGCGGGTCGCAAGCGAGTCAGTCATCTGCCAGATGTGCTAATGTTTGCACGCTGTTAATTTTGTGCGGGAACCGCGGAATAGTTAGGGCGTCTAGTAAATATCCTGTCTAGGAATTATAACGCGCATTCCCTGTTTGGATAGCCTTTCCCGGGACTTATTGGGTCCGACTCAGAATCTGTATAAGTGCATTCGACAATATAAGCTAGTGCGGCCTCGGTATTTAGAACTGTTGCCACGCGAAACGGTAGTGACCTTTGACCTAGAAACTCCGGGCGTGTTTTGTGCGGTAACCTTATACCCCGCGATAGTTAGTGGCTTCTGTAAGCTAGTTAATCGTACGATAGAGTTAAGTGACTGGCATCGTGGTGAACCAAGAAAGTGACTGTGGATAACCTCGAAAGGCCCCCTCAAGTTGGAGCGGTATCGACGCTCGGGCTGCTGCCGACGGCTAAGGTCTAGGTTCAATCACCATCAGTCACACCCAGATACACACCACATCACCATTCTTTCCCTTGCACTACACAACCACATGCGACCTGACCGACTCCGGAGGAACCAGTCGCCTTGGATAGAGGTAAGTGAACTCCGCCAAATTCCTTCCGGTCGACTGGCCGTAGTATAACGCTCCCCCATATATTTAGTGTAATTAGAGAACTTCCACGTGGCCTTAGGAGGCCCGACCTACGTTTGCTCGGGAAGTCTTCTGCTGATGGGCCCCGGGGGATTGGATCCTTTAAGGGAGCAACCGTAGGCCGTAACAATAGTATAATAATTGTAGAACGAAAGGCTCGGCTCGACAGCTTGAGACTGCTGTGTTTCGTATGGTGAGTGTAGAGAACGGGGGACCATTTTTACTGGAAAAGAGGCATTCCATCTTAGTCCTCACGGGTAACGATGCGTCTGCATTTTGATTCTTTATTGAGGATAGATGTAGATGTCTATGGGTCACAGCAACCACTTACAATCAGGTGGGCTGTGTGCTCGTTTGTCACCCTATCCTATAAAAACAAAATCTATTGGTGGCTGTAATATCTGAATAACAATTATGTAAAGTATAATAAAATAAAATATAAGTTAATAAAACGCGTAAATAACTAGTTTTATTCAATGTGTGTTGTGTGTGTTCGCGTAATCATTAGAAATTATATAATCCATATTCCATTTCATTCCGTGGGTTCCGTAAGAGGTGATTAAGGGAATTTCAAAAAGTTATGGTTTTCGATAGATGGTGGTATAATTGATGATTGATGACTAACGCTGAAGCTATATTATGGTTGTAGCACAAATGGGTCGGCTCGACCGGGACAGGACCACGCTATCACAGAATACCACCGTAAAATGGCAGCTTATTGCTGCTGTGTTTCGTATGGAGAGTGTATAGAACCGGAGAACCTTTTTACTGTAACTGAGGCATTCAATCTCAGTCCTCAGGGGTGACAACGGATCTGCATTTTGATTCTTAATCGAGGATTAATGTAGACGTCTATGGGCCACAGCATCCATTTACCATCAGGTGGACTGTGTGCTCGTTTGTCAACCATATTCTATAAAAAAATAATTATCTCCTTTACATAAGGCGTAAATACACACACACAAACACGCACGCACACAAACACACACACATAATGCTTTGACAAAGGTGAGAGAGGTGTACTGTGATCGACAATCCGTCTACCGAGCGTGACTATCAAACCAATTCTTTTCTACAACGTCGGAGACCCATATCTGATAAAGAAGTAACTTTATCTTACTTACGTTCAATTTCCGTTTACACCTGGACAAATTAAGCAGCAGGTTAGTCTTCAGCTGGACGAAGGCGGATACGTGTTCGTGAGGCACGGGCTGTGTTGAGGGAGTGCTGACTCCTTCATCACTGATCAGCGGGTTCACTTTCTTCAGCGCGTATTGGTAGCGATGGGCCGCTTCCGACGGACGGTTCTTCCTGTACAACATATTCCCGTCCTCCAGCAACTTGTTCAGCAGTATTAGCCTGAAGTTAAGAGATTAGTTTAGCGATTTTAATGAAATAGAAAAAAATCAGAAAATAGCAAAGAAAAGGATATATTAAAATACTTACATAAATTCTGGTTTGCCTGACGCCATAACCCACGTAGTTGGGCCAAGCTTAGCTCCTTTCCTCAGGAAACAATGCACAACCTAGAACAATATAGGAAAGTTAGTTGTATCTGTGTAAGAAACGTTTTTGAGACGATAATAACGCCTCACGTCCATTACTGTTAATTTAAAGTTTTAAGAAAGGATTTGTATTCCATAAATAAACTTAATGAAAAAAAAAACAGTTATCAAATCAAATAGAGATAAAAAAGATAAAACAAAATGAACTAATCATGAGAGAAAGAGAGGGAAAAGTGTATTTTTTGTTTTTGCGGTTGAGGCTCTGACCGCTGCGGTTGAGGCTCTGACCGCTGAGGTCGACGCGCTCGAGCTAGGCGCCGCGCTCCAGCAGCAGCTCGGCGCGCGAGAGAGACGGAGATATAGAGCGACAGAGACAGAGACAGAGAGAGCTGCACACTCACGGGCACGTTCCGCTGGCCGATGGCGCGGTCGAGCGGGCGCAGGCCGCTGAGGTCGACGCGCTCGAGCGAGGCGCCGCGCTCCAGCAGCAGCTCGGCGCGCGAGAGAGACGGAGATATAGAGCGACAGAGACAGAGACAGAGAGAGCTGCACACTCACGGGCACGTTCCGCTGGCCGATGGCGCGGTCGAGCGGGCGCAGGCCGCTGAGGTCGACGCGCTCGAGCGAGGCGCCGCGCTCCAGCAGCAGCTCGGCGCGCGAGAGAGACGGAGATATAGAGCGACAGAGACAGAGACAGAGAGAGCTGCACACTCACGGGCACGTTCCGCTGGCCGATGGCGCGGTCGAGCGGGCGCAGGCCGCTGAGGTCGACGCGCTCGAGCGAGGCGCCGCGCTCCAGCAGCAGCTCGGCGCGCGAGAGAGACGGAGATATAGAGCGACAGAGACAGAGACAGAGAGAGCTGCACACTCACGGGCACGTTCCGCTGGCCGATGGCGCGGTCGAGCGGGCGCAGGCCGCTGAGGTCGACGCGCTCGAGCGAGGCGCCGCGCTCCAGCAGCAGCTCGGTGCGCGAGAGAGACGGAGATATAGAGCGACAGAGACAGAGACAGAGAGAGCTGCACACTCACGGGCACGTTCCGCTGGCCGATGGCGCGGTCGAGCGGGCGCAGGCCGCTGAGGTCGACGCGCTCGAGCGAGGCGCCGCGCTCCAGCAGCAGCTCGGCGCGCGAGAGAGACGGAGATATAGAGCGACAGAGACAGAGACAGAGAGAGCTGCACACTCACGGGCACGTTCCGCTGGCCGATGGCGCGGTCGAGCGGGCGCAGGCCGCTGAGGTCGACGCGCTCGAGCGAGGCGCCGCGCTCCAGCAGCAGCTCGGCGCGCGAGAGAGACGGAGATATAGAGCGACAGAGACAGAGACAGAGAGAGCTGCACACTCACGGGCACGTTCCGCTGGCCGATGGCGCGGTCGAGCGGGCGCAGGCCGCTGAGGTCGACGCGCTCGAGCGAGGCGCCGCGCTCCAGCAGCAGCTCGGTGCGCGAGAGAGACGGAGATATAGAGCGACAGAGACAGAGACAGAGAGAGCTGCACACTCACGGGCACGTTCCGCTGGCCGATGGCGCGGTCGAGCGGGCGCAGGCCGCTGAGGTCGACGCGCTCGAGCGAGGCGCCGCGCTCCAGCAGCAGCTCGGCGCGCGAGAGAGACGGAGATATAGAGCGACAGAGACAGAGACAGAGAGAGCTGCACACTCACGGGCACGTTCCGCTGGCCGATGGCGCGGTCGAGCGGGCGCAGGCCGCTGAGGTCGACGCGCTCGAGCGAGGCGCCGCGCTCCAGCAGCAGCTCGGCGCGCGAGAGAGACGGAGATATAGAGCGACAGAGACAGAGACAGAGAGAGCTGCACACTCACGGGCACGTTCCGCTGGCCGATGGCGCGGTCGAGCGGGCGCAGGCCGCTGAGGTCGACGCGCTCGAGCGAGGCGCCGCGCTCCAGCAGCAGCTCGGCGCGCGAGAGAGACGGAGATATAGAGCGACAGAGACAGAGACAGAGAGAGCTGCACACTCACGGGCACGTTCCGCTGGCCGATGGCGCGGTCGAGCGGGCGCAGGCCGCTGAGGTCGACGCGCTCGAGCGAGGCGCCGCGCTCCAGCAGCAGCTCGGTGCGCGAGAGAGACGGAGATATAGAGCGACAGAGACAGAGACAGAGAGAGCTGCACACTCACGGGCACGTTCCGCTGGCCGATGGCGCGGTCGAGCGGGCGCAGGCCGCTGAGGTCGACGCGCTCGAGCGAGGCGCCGCGCTCCAGCAGCAGCTCGGCGCGCGAGAGAGACGGAGATATAGAGCGACAGAGACAGAGACAGAGAGAGCTGCACACTCACGGGCACGTTCCGCTGGCCGATGGCGCGGTCGAGCGGGCGCAGGCCGCTGAGGTCGACGCGCTCGAGCGAGGCGCCGCGCTCCAGCAGCAGCTCGGCGCGCGAGAGAGACGGAGATATAGAGCGACAGAGACAGAGACAGAGAGAGCTGCACACTCACGGGCACGTTCCGCTGGCCGATGGCGCGGTCGAGCGGGCGCAGGCCGCTGAGGTCGACGCGCTCGAGCGAGGCGCCGCGCTCCAGCAGCAGCTCGGCGCGCGAGAGAGACGGAGATATAGAGCGACAGAGACAGAGACAGAGAGAGCTGCACACTCACGGGCACGTTCCGCTGGCCGATGGCGCGGTCGAGCGGGCGCAGGCCGCTGAGGTCGACGCGCTCGAGCGAGGCGCCGCGCTCCAGCAGCAGCTCGGCGCGCGAGAGAGACGGAGATATAGAGCGACAGAGACAGAGACAGAGAGAGCTGCACACTCACGGGCACGTTCCGCTGGCCGATGGCGCGGTCGAGCGGGCGCAGGCCGCTGAGGTCGACGCGCTCGAGCGAGGCGCCGCGCTCCAGCAGCAGCTCGGCGCGCGAGAGAGACGGAGATATAGAGCGACAGAGACAGAGACAGAGAGAGCTGCACACTCACGGGCACGTTCCGCTGGCCGATGGCGCGGTCGAGCGGGCGCAGGCCGCTGAGGTCGACGCGCTCGAGCGAGGCGCCGCGCTCCAGCAGCAGCTCGGCGCGCGAGAGAGACGGAGATATAGAGCGACAGAGACAGAGACAGAGAGAGCTGCACACTCACGGGCACGTTCCGCTGGCCGATGGCGCGGTCGAGCGGGCGCAGGCCGCTGAGGTCGACGCGCTCGAGCGAGGCGCCGCGCTCCAGCAGCAGCTCGGCGCGCGAGAGAGACGGAGATATAGAGCGACAGAGACAGAGACAGAGAGAGCTGCACACTCACGGGCACGTTCCGCTGGCCGATGGCGCGGTCGAGCGGGCGCAGGCCGCTGAGGTCGACGCGCTCGAGCGAGGCGCCGCGCTCCAGCAGCAGCTCGGCGCGCGAGAGAGACGGAGATATAGAGCGACAGAGACAGAGACAGAGAGAGCTGCACACTCACGGGCACGTTCCGCTGGCCGATGGCGCGGTCGAGCGGGCGCAGGCCGCTGAGGTCGACGCGCTCGAGCGAGGCGCCGCGCTCCAGCAGCAGCTCGGCGCGCGAGAGAGACGGAGATATAGAGCGACAGAGACAGAGACAGAGAGAGCTGCACACTCACGGGCACGTTCCGCTGGCCGATGGCGCGGTCGAGCGGGCGCAGGCCGCTGAGGTCGACGCGCTCGAGCGAGGCGCCGCGCTCCAGCAGCAGCTCGGCGCGCGAGAGAGACGGAGATATAGAGCGACAGAGACAGAGACAGAGAGAGCTGCACACTCACGGGCACGTTCCGCTGGCCGATGGCGCGGTCGAGCGGGCCGCAGGCCGCTGAGGTCGACGCGCTCGAGCGAGGCGCCGCGCTCCAGCAGCAGCTCGGCGCGCGAGAGAGACGGAGATATAGAGCGACAGAGACAGAGACAGAGAGAGCTGCACACTCACGGGCACGTTCCGCTGGCCGATGGCGCGGTCGAGCGGGCGCAGGCCGCTGAGGTCGACGCGCTCGAGCGAGGCGCCGCGCTCCAGCAGCAGCTCGGCGCGCGAGAGAGACGGAGATATAGAGCGACAGAGACAGAGACAGAGAGAGCTGCACACTCACGGGCACGTTCCGCTGGCCGATGGCGCGGTCGAGCGGGCGCAGGCCGCTGAGGTCGACGCGCTCGAGCGAGGCGCCGCGCTCCAGCAGCAGCTCGGCGCGCGAGAGAGACGGAGATATAGAGCGACAGAGACAGAGACAGAGAGAGCTGCACACTCACGGGCACGTTCCGCTGGCCGATGGCGCGGTCGAGCGGGCGCAGGCCGCTGAGGTCGACGCGCTCGAGCGAGGCGCCGCGCTCCAGCAGCAGCTCGGCGCGCGAGAGAGACGGAGATATAGAGCGACAGAGACAGAGACAGAGAGAGCTGCACACTCACGGGCACGTTCCGCTGGCCGATGGCGCGGTCGAGCGGGCGCAGGCCGCTGAGGTCGACGCGCTCGAGCGAGGCGCCGCGCTCCAGCAGCAGCTCGGCGCGCGAGAGAGACGGAGATATAGAGCGACAGAGACAGAGACAGAGAGAGCTGCACACTCACGGGCACGTTCCGCTGGCCGATGGCGCGGTCGAGCGGGCGCAGGCCGCTGAGGTCGACGCGCTCGAGCGAGGCGCCGCGCTCCAGCAGCAGCTCGGCGAGCTCTGCCGGCCCACCACACGCTAGCGCAAGCGCCGTACGCCCGCTGTTGTCAGTTTGCTCTGCAATTGTGTACGTGTTGACGTCATTGCAGTTCATCAAATGCATAGCGTTGCATATCATAGGACGTTTTTAAAAACTGCTGCAAAGCACGTTCTGGAGCGACATGCAACCTTCGACCCTTTTTTATCGTGGGGAAATCCTCATGGATACATTCTACTGCGGGGGCAACAGAAAGGTCAAAAACCCACAGTGGTCACCATCAGCGTATATGAGGGGTAACGGGATCTCCGTTCGGAACGTAAACGGGGACCTTCTCTCGCTTTGCTTTATTAAAGCACGTCCCGGGGGCAGTCCTTACTGCCCCCAGCACCCTCGCAGTGCTATCATAGTGCTCGAGACCACTTCGGAGTCACTGCCCTGCTCAGGGGTTATAAGAGTATTACTAGACGTTCGGGACCCCCGTCCCAGGCGCCTGTGACCCCTAAGACCTCGTTTCTGGTAGAGGAACACCATCATCAAGGGGAGAGCCTATCCTCTCCCAACACCGCTCAGCAGCCTCCTAATGGACCCCAATAGATTCACAAAAAGCGGCTACGGCTCTCCACGCAAATTCCTTGCTCAGCATCGCCAACACCACCACCAACGACTGCTGGCAGGGAGAAGTTCTGACTGGTTCAGTCAGAACTTACTTAGTAAGGCTTACCAGGACCGTCCGCTTCCGTTGCCACGCTAGACATGTTGCCAACGTAAGGGGTGCGGAGTCCTGGTCCAGCAGTAGGAACAGTTCACCATCGCTTCGCGTCAGATCTTACACAGATAATAACCGGGCACGGATGCTTCGGTGATTATTTGTGTAAGATCTAGTGAGGTGTAGGTGAGTCTTCTTGTTCGTCGATGCATCCAGTCTTCGAATTGCGGCAGGATTTCTTCAACAACGCGTCAGCGTTCGGATTGTGCCGGCCCGTTGCCACTTCGGCTGATAAGCTGAAGTGGCAATGGGCCGGCCATATAGCTCGAAGAATCGACAACCGATGGGGAAAAAAGATTCTCGAGTGGCGGCCCCGTACCGGCGGACGAAGTGTAAGGCGTCCCCACCCTCCTAGATGGAGTGACGACCTGGTAAGATATGCAGGAAGTCGAGGGATGCAGGTTTCTCGGGACCGTGCTTTGTGGCATTCCTTGGGGGAGGCCTATGTTCAGCAGTGGTTTCGTGAAGGGCTGTAATGATGATGATATAGCGTGTACAATAAATAATAAAGAATAAAATGTAGTTCACTTACCGATAGAAGCGCCCTTGTCAAGTAAGACCATGATTGTTGGGATTCTGGAGCGAAGACTCGCCCAGCCAAGTGCTGATATACCATCAGCATCAGTCGCGTCCGGATCGGCACCTGAAAATTTGTTACTTTACAACTATTCGTTTTACTTAGATAATATAAAAGTGTTTTTGGGCAGATGAATAACAAATAGCGGATAAAATATTAAAATAATAATAATAATTTAGTTGTTGTAAAAAAGTTGACTTAAATATGAAGAGTTTATAAGAGTCGAAACTTACCATGGGCCAAGAGCATCTCTACAACATCGGCGTGTCCTTCTGCAGCGGCAAGTATGAGTGGGTTCTTGCCACCGGAGCCCATCACGTCAGCCCCCGAGTCCAGAAGACGCAGCACGAGAGCACTGCGGCCGTTTTTCGCCGCTAAAGCGAGTGGCGACATCTGGCGCGCGTTCAGCGAGTAGGGCGTGGCGCCGCGCACGAGCAGCGCGTCGGCGATGGCGGCGTTGCCGGTGCAGCAGGCGGCCGTCAGGGCCGTCTCACCGGTCACCGGACAGATCCCGTCGGGCTGTAAGGGAAAATGTACTTTATTGCAAACGCTCACAGTTCATATTTGTTTAATGTTACCCTTGTTACTTATCCATAAATATAGTAATGTGAGGAAATATCAAGTTTTTAATAGGGTGCTAGCTTCACATGTGCATTTCAGCTTTTAGTAAAATTCATACATATTTAACTTACTTTGCGGGATAGTCTGTGACAGCATTAATTATATTATTAAGATAACTAGTAAAGTATTATATTACACTAGCTTTTTACCCGCAAATTCGCTCGCGTGGTTTTTAGTTTAGAAACTTCGCTAAATGATATTCCGTGCCAAATTTAGCAAAATTCGATCACTTTTAGAGTCACTTCGGTGTCTGTGTCTCTGTCAGTTTGTCAAAGAATTTTTTTGAAGTCCCAAAGACTATTGGGCCTAGATGATTACTATTTGGCATATTATAAATAATATGCTACAGGAACACGTGAATAAATAAATATTTCAGAATTGCATTAATATCATATGTCTAGAAACATCTACAATTTTTATATTGGACGTGTCTTCCGGTGTATTCATAAGAAAGACAAATTATTACATATTATACATTAATACTATGAAAGTTAAAACTAAACTATTTAGTAATATTAGCTGTAGAAGGTGGGGGTGCGACTGGCTCAAGAGCTACCCCAAAGCCGCGAACATTTATTTATTATATAAAAAAGGCATAAAGTGATGTTGATTCAGTTAAAAATCTCTTACTGTTAAAACTTATTGATGATATGATCATATTATCATGAAATAACAATATTGCGTTTAGTTAATAACTATTGTTAAATGATCTCTATTCATTGATTTGTCTAAGCTATGTCATGATATGGCCAACAAACAATGATAAATATCATGAAAAGACACCATTTCACGAAATGATGATTTAATGAGAATATTGCAATAATTGCACTGACCAGTTTTAATCAGTTTACATACAGATATAGTAACAAACGTATGAAAATTGATATGTTTTTTAGTTAAAAAAATATAAATTTTCATACGTTTGATAGATTAAAGAATTAGATAAAAAAAAATGATTATTAAATAATTTTATAAATCTAAATATTTAATCATACAAATGTAAGTTATTTATATTATTTAATTTATTAGTTACTAAAGGCAAAATATAGGCTATTTTTCATTTGATGATAGATGGCGATTTTTTGATAATTAAAACGTATATCGTCAGCGGAGTTTCAAATTGTTATGCAAAGGTTAAAACTAGTTTTAAACTTTATTTGCAAATATGATATTTATTTGAAAAAAAAAAACACCCGTCATCCTGCCTATTAACTAACATAATCATATATAATAGAAAATTAACAACTAAAGGAAGAAAAATACTTAACCTTCTTTTTTAGGTTCCGTAATCGGATAAAAAGTTGCCTATAAGTTGCCCCTTGTTACTAACTACCTACATATAAAATTTAATGGAAATCGATCGAGTAGTTTTTGTGTGAATCGGTAATACACAGACAGACAAAAATTCTAAAAATCATTAATTTGGCTTTAGTACCCTTTATTTAGTCCCCTGGACTTATTTTTTCAAGAGTATGTTAGAATTACAGACACGACTTTTCTACAGATTTATTATATGTATAGATTGACTAAGAATTATTAAATGGAGTTGAGTTAATACATACATACATATAATCACGCCTCTTTCCCGTAGGGGTAGGCAGAGACCACTTCTTTCCACTTGCTACGATCCTTACATACTTGTTTCGCTTCGTCCACTTTCATTATTCCCTTTATACATGCTCTTCGGTTTAGGGTACTCTTGACCTGGATTTTTTTCAAGACGTCCCTGATTTGATCTAGAAACGTCCGCCTAGGTCTACCCCTTCTAATGCCTCCTCTACACTACTCGCGAAGTAGATCGAAGTTGGACGAGGCGAATAGTGTAGAGAGGTACTTCGATTTACTTCGTCCAACCTCGTTTCGCCTCGGGCGACTTCCGATTGCTGTCGGTTTTTTACGCCAGAGTCAAAGGAATTCGCGAAGTACCCCGAAGTTACACGAAGCGTCTCACTACACTACTCGGCGTACGCCAGTTATGAATATTTTTTTATATATAAATATTAATATATGTAACTTTCTACATAATTATTTATTTAGTTAACGCATTGAAGTCGTACAGTTCACACAATTAGGTACCTATAGCAGCTGCCTCTTGAACGTCATTCATGTTAACGGTGCGGGAGACTCAAGAAGACTGAGCTCTTCGCGAAGTAGCACGAGTGTGTGGTCACGTTCTTCGGACTGCGATCAACTTCGACGAGCACTTCGTCGAAGTTACTTCGCGAGTAGTGAAGAGGAAGCATAACTTTCATTCACACTCGCCTTATATACCTTTTTCGTCAATCGTTCTTCATTCATTCTCTCGACATGGCCAAACCATCTCAGCATACATTTCTCAATTTTTGTCACTACATCTTCTTTCAGACCACAACGTTGTGGTTGAGTTAAAAACTTACTTAATTGCATCAGTTTCAAATTATCGTTGTCGTTACAGCCTGTCATAATTCACTGCTGAATATAGGCCTCCCCCACAGATTACCTCATGAGGGAAATATTAGCCACAGTTGCCACGCTTGTGGTTGCGACATGCGGTTTAACAACCGCAGTTTTTAATTTTTTAGTTTATAAAGAAGACGCTGCCCATTTCCTTTCTTATTTCTCTATGTTGCCTCTTACGATACCCACAGGAAGATATGGGGTAGTGGATATTCTCACATCGCCACTACGCGGTCATGTTTCAAATTATCGATAAGTAGTAACTTACTTAAAATATAATAAATAAACACGATAATTGTATAATGCCATATTTTTATACTCTTGAATGTTATATTTAAAGCTTGCTTACGATCAACTCAGCGGTGTCCAGCAGATATTCAACGATGTCCAAATGTCCGTTTTGCGCCGCGGCTATGAGGGCGTGCCTCGAGCCGGGCACGAGTTGCTCGATGTTGCCATCATCTATTTCTATGGAATTTCTGTCGTCTCTACCAGTCTGGCAACCCAGCAGGTATATAACTGTATCGCGATGGCCGTTCTTAGCAGCGTGCACCAATGGCGTCTGTTCCGCAGTATCAGTGTGACTGAGGGATGAACCTGCAAATGGTGAGAATATTTTTGAGCTTGTTTTTTAAAAAACATTAAAAAAATGTGACTATAATTCTTACCAGCAGCGATGAGTCTCTTCGCGACATCTGTATGTCCTCTCTGGCACGCAAGAGAAAGTGCGGAACAGCCTTGGGAGTTCGTCATCTCCAAATCAGCTCCGAACTCAATCAGCAATCCCACCATCGACAGAATCCCTTGGTAAGCGTACATACACAGAAGCGGTGCGTTTCCAAGGCATTCCGTGATCTGGTTGGGGGAACCACCAGCAAGGAGCATCAATCGTGACACCTTTACATTTGGCGTATAGATATTCCTCAAGTTGGCGATCGCTTCACCGACATTCGCCGAACTAGTCGCCACCATCATCGCCTGCAGGTCCCTTGGGCAAAGTCCTAACTGGGCTGGACCCAGATTTCTATACATATGAGCTTTTAAAATATGGTGGCCCAGCTCCATCGTCTTCTCCGGGTCCAAAGGCGCCTGTACCCTGGATAGCCGGTACGCGATGCTACAGTGACCCGCTCTCAAATCGCAGAGGAATTTTGGGCTCTCATTATCATCACGCCGTATCAACCATTCCCTGAACGACGGGTGGAAGAACATATATGTGTTGTCAATTCTTTTGACGAGGAAATCTGTGAGTGAGTCGAAGCGATGGCAGAACTCGTCCCAAGGCAGGAACGTGTCCACAAGCAGAGAGTTGACCGAGTAGTAAATTTCGACCAGCGTCAATGGATATAAAGCGGCTAAGCAAACACTTAGGATGTGGGTCACTTTCTCAAATGACTGGACAGTTGGGAATCGTAGATTGAACTGCAGCAGAAATATCTGCGCCAGGGAAATAGGGACCACTTTGTAGTTAGTCGATTTAACAACTATATGACTCCTTTCGAGGAGATCAAGGATTAGCTTTAGGAACAGAAACGAGCCTTGGCTCAAATGGAGGACGTATTGTGCGAATTTCATCACCGAATTGTGAGCGCCTTCCGATTTCCCTGTCGAACATTTTATGTTTGTTTCTATAATAGGCGCCGCCTGCAATCTCACATTGAAATACTTGAGCAGATCCTTGTGAACATTTTCGGACTCGTCTAGACTCAGCCTCGTGTATGGAAGTTGTTTGGTAAGCTCCAGGAACTGGGTCCTCACTGTTGTGACAATTTTTAGCCATGTCGGCATCTCCGCTATATGCCGCGCTATGAATGACGCGATGGTGTGACCATGGTCCGGTCTATGGTACTCTGCTTCGCATAGTCCATCGACCAGGATGATTCCATTGGTGGAATCTATGCTTCCGTTCTTTCGGAGTATTGTTAAGGGTTCTATGATGCCCCTTATGAAGGCAAGATCTGGGTCAGCTATGCATTCTTTAAGCGAAAGGCAGGCCAGCAGATGTGGTTCGCTGAGTAAGTATTCTCTATAGGCTTGTAGTCTGGGTGCTTGACACAGTTGTGCAGCAAGCGAGTGCACAAACTCGCCAACTAAGCAAGTGCTGTTATTGTCCGCCTGTAAGTAAATAAAGGTCTCATCTTTACACTGTAAACTATGCAATAAGTATGTAAAACAGAGAAAGATTATTGAAGTCCACCTGATGGTAAGTGAATGCTGTGACCTATAGACATCTACGCCTAATCTCGGAATTAAATTAGGAATCAAAATGTAGATGCGTTGCCACCCTTGAGGATTAAGATGGAAAACCTCGTTTCTAATGAAATAGTGTTCTGTTCTCTACACTTACCACACGAGATACTGGCCGTATTAAGCTTAATAATTTTACGCTGGTATTCTATGAGAGCGTGGTCCTTCCCCGGTCTAACCGATTCAAAATATTTTTCAATGTGCTTAATATAATATATAATAATAAAATAATAAATTATAACGGACATCATCCGGTGTGAATCATTATTATTAGTCAGGAAACTAACGTCAATCAACACTTTCACTGTCCGGTTTCCAGACACAATAGTAAGACAATAGCAGTGCCCTATATATAGTGCACTGGACAGCGAAAGGGTTAAAATAGTTTATATGATACATTATTTATAACTTGTGTTAGCGAATCTGTTTACGAATAGCAGTAAATGGTTCCCTTTTAAACAATAAAATCTAACTTGAAACGAAATGCCGGCCAGCCGTAACTGAGTGAGTGAGCTGGCAGTTAAGTAAATGCAAAATATACAATAATATCCAACAACAGAAGAAAGACAGAAAGTTTTAAAACAGAAGAGGGCGCGCACGGTATCGTTTACGAAATAGACTGATATCTATTTCCTTAGTTTTAAAAAAATATGTCGGTTGCGTATCCGTTAGACATATTTGACATATAAAACAACATGAATTATAATAAAAGTGACAATATGATTGATTGTACAAAATGAATAACAATATTAAAAAAAAAAACATTGAAAATACATCTACATTAGTAATTTATTATATTTTATCATTTGGTTAAACTAGTTAAATAATTGCTCTAGAGCTATTTCATAAATTATTACAAAAACAACTCACCTGGCAGAAGTGATAAGCGACGACTTGGGACGCAAGATGCGTGAACATTCCCTCTACCAATTCCTCCGGTAGAATTTCACCCATGTCCGATTGCTCCCTCAACTCCTCGTATTCGAAATTTCGTTTCCTGCCGAAGCACGAGTGCTCCACTAGTTGCAGGATTAATGCAGTCTTGCCGGTGCCTGGGCTGCCTGATATTAGGATGCCTGGAAGTGATGCACAGTGACAAATTTTATATTTCGATATAAATAAAATAATCACCACTACACTAGGCAAGGTGTTGGGAGTAGCGGTGCTGGGATTAGTGGTGACGGGGTTAGTGCACGCAATTGAGGGAGGGCGGGAGGTGCTTCTTCATACTAGGTAAGACACATCATTTTATTTTATAACGCGGATATTTGCGAAGTAAGTTTTTGTAAAAGCTTTTATATAATGGATTTCCGCAAAGTAACGCCTGATTCTATTAATTATAATATTTTTTGGGTAATAAGTACATTGTAAATTCATACAGTGTTATAGTTGAGACGTTTTTGTAAATATTTAAAATACTTGTGCCAGAAGGCCACACGCTACCATAGTAAACTATTAAGTAATCTGTGACCATAGCCTTATATTAAAAGCTTATTACCAATAATTTATTTCTTCTTAAATAATTAAAAAATAATCTTAATAATAAATAATTTGTCATGAAGTTTATTTTGATTTGGTAGGCTTGGCGCGCGCGCGCGTGTGTGTGTTTGTGTGTGTATGTGCAATATAATATTATTTAATATAGTAAAAGCTCAATGTCTTCATAATTTAAGGTTTCAAGCCAAATAATTAATTTCTTTTTACACTGTACGGATATTTGATAGCAAAAACAGAATTTACTTTTTTTAGTAACTACGACTATATCCTTTCTTCTTTCATTTTGGGGTTATGATCATATACTAAGATTTTATGAAATTGTAGAATAAAATGTAGAACATAAATAATTTTCTTATTAATAGCATGTCACACGTTTGATACAAGTTGGTGGTTGAAAAAAGGAAAGGTTTAAAATGCATGACTTTTAAAAGTGATCTCTGTGACCGTTCCACTTCAAATTTAGTTTTTGCCGCTCCATCCCAGACAGAATGCAATAAGTGATAATAGATTGGATTAGGGAAATATAAAACTGTTTAAGTTTGTTAGAAGCTACATATCTCAACTGTTTAAAAAGTCAACTTAGTTTTCTAATTCGCGCATTTACAAGTTCAATTTGATCAAACCAAGATAGTAGTTGATTTAAAACAACTCCTAAATATTTTGTTTTACTTACTTTATTGATAGATGGGCACAGACAATTAGAATTATTAGTATCACATGTATGAATTTTTATGGCAAAATTAGTATCTGGTTGAGTTTTGTTAGTTAATGTGAAGCAAATATAATTAGTTTTTTTTTAAATACTATTGCAGTATCATCTGCATAGGAAAAAACGCGGGCTTCTTTAGACTTTAGATCACACAGTTTTTTAAGTATACTAAAAATAAGGTAGGCCAAAGTACACTGCCTTGCGACACGCTACACGCAAGATCAGAGTATATACTAACATACTGACTTATTTTAACTCTTTGTAATCGATTTGATAAATAACATTTAAATAGTTCTAAAGGCGTGCCTCGGATACCAATGAGCTCCAGTTTACTTAAAAGTATGGGGATGGAGATTGTGTCGAATGCTTTTTTAGGTTAAAGAACTTATTTCCCGAATCAATATATCCGTGAGGGGTGTGGTTATTGCTGTGAGTGCGTCTTCTGTAGACCGACGATGTCTAAAGCCGAACTGAGAGTTTGATAAGATATTGAATTTATCCAAAGAATTTAATAATCTCTTATTTATTAGTTTTTCTAAAATTTTTGAAATAAAAGTTGATACCGAAATCGGGCGATAGTTAGATAAGAAGTGAGTATTAAATTTTAAGTTGAGGATCATTTTTTATAGGATAAGGGTGATAATCGAGCACACAGTCCACCTGATGGTAAGTGGTTGCTGTGACCCATAGACATCGACATCCATCCCCAATAAACAATGAAAATGCAGATGCGTCGGCCGTGAGAATTAAAATTGAATGCCTCTTTTCCAGTAAAATGAGTCTCCGGTTCTCTACACTCACCATACGAAACATAGCAGTTTCAAGCTGCTATTTTACGCTGGTATTCAGTGAGAGCGTGGTCCTTCCTCGGTCGAGCCGACCCATTCGTGCTACAACTATACTACTAATATAGCTGCAGCATGGCTCTACCACGTATAAATGCTGCTGCTCATCTCCTGTTTCATCTCCCACTGTCGCATCTTACGACACCCACGGGATGACATGGTGTAGTGGATATTCTTACACTGCAACTATACGGTATATAACATTGAAACCAATTCGGAATAAATACCTGGTGAAGTAGACTCCAAGGCCTTCTCCATATCTTTCAACAGCCACTGTCTACCGGAGAAACAATCTTGATTGTCAGTCGATGGCACTTCGAAGAAAAGCGGTCGAAGATTTAGTTGCGGTTCTGGGTGTACTGTGAATGAAAACATGAGCTTATTGTATATGATCGTAGGTGGATGTTGTGATCTATAAATACTAATAATTATCTACCATTAAGGATCAAAATGTACATGCGTTGTCACCAGTGATGGATTTATAATAAAGCCCGCTAGGCACTTACCTAGGGCATCACCGCAGAGGGTATAAGCTATTAAACTTCTGATAAAAAAATATATGTTTGATTTACTGTGAAATTAATTCAAAATGAAAAAAATTAATACTATATTTTTTTAAATATAAAAAGCTCTTAATTTGTAGATATATCGATATTTGCAATGTTTTTTTCTCATGTTTCTTATTGCACGTGTTTTTATTTATAATTCTATGATGCAAATTGATAGCCAGAAGGAAACCTAGAAAAATTAAAGCTAGAACACCATTTGCTATAAAAACCTAGGGCACCAAAACATTAAATCCTATGCTGGTTAGTTTCGATACATTCATGCTGCGTCCTTAGAACAGTTACATCATGCGTTTAAAGTTACAGCTTATTATACGTCCCACTGCTGGGCACAGGCTTCCTCTCATTTCTGAGAGGGTTTTAGCGCAAGAAAATGTCCGCCACGCTGCCCCAAAGCTTGTTGGCGAACTTCACATGTCTTCGAAAAATATTTTTTCTTATTTTTTAGGCATGGTGGTTTTTCCTCACGATGTTTTCCTTCACTGTTGAGCACTCAAAATTGCAATTAACTATTTCAATAGTGCTGTACTGAGCGCTAACCACGTAATTTATTAATGACTAGCGATCCGCTCAGGCTTTGCACGGGTGATTTCTGGAGTTGACAACAGCGCAACTACCGGGTACAATTGTGAATCTAAACCAATGCAGGGACCCAATCGAACACACACAAAAAAATTTGTCAGTCAGTCAAGCAATTTTCGTGTTTTTGCGAGACTAACGAACTGCAATTGATTTATATATATATAATTCAGTGAATATATATACTTATTTATTATATATATATTTATTTATTCATCGAATAACTGAAGTCTATCAAAAGTTCTCTGTTGAATATAGGCCTCCCCCATAGGCTACGGGTTGGCAACCATAGTTTTTATTATTAAGTTGTGATCAGGAGCATCTCCTGTTTCATTTTCCCTCTGTCGTCTCTAACGACACCCGCAGGATGACAAATTCATGAATTTGTAAATTGTGTCTGTGTTAAATAATATAAGAATTTTTAAAAAAAATTAAACAACACGCATTGTTCGGGAGCTGTGGTGATCCTGATAATTATTTTAATATGTCCCGGTGACGCTGCTGTCCATCTCCTGATTTGTTTCCCGCTGTGGCCTCTTACGACACCCACGAGATGATATGAGGTAGTAGATATTCATACAATACCGTGTGCTGGCGATGTAGAAGTGTGTTAAGTACTGTAAAACTCTAATATTGCGCACATTGAACGCGAAACGGAGATGTTGCTCTATTATGACCAAATCCAAAACATCGCGATCCACATAACTTACATCACTTTCACGACCTTTATATAAATAAAAAAGTACACTAATAGCAAAAGGAGCTTTCAATTATTACTCCTGATGTTAGTCTAGTTATAAGATTATTTCCATATTTTTAAAGGGTTTGCAACCGCAGTTTTTATTATTTTGAGCTGATATCAGGAAGAATGTGCTGCCCATCTCCTGTTTCATTTTTCCTTTGTCACCTCTTATGACACCTCCGGGACGATGTGGGGTAGTCGATATTCTTACACCATCACTACAAGGTACTAACGTTTACTAACTAACCTTAGCTAAACCTTATAGAGGCTCAAATTGTAAGGCAATTTAAAATTTTGTACAACCGACTTCAATATAAATTATTAAGAATAACCCAAAAACTATTGGTCAGACCTTGATTAAATTTATATGGGACCACATGTACAGCACCAGCTTTGAAATAAAAAAGAATTATCGAAATCGGTTCACCCAGTAAAAAGTTATATGGTAAAACACATAAAAAACGTACAGTCGAATTGAGTACCGTCTCCTTTTTGAAGTAGGTAGAAAAGTTGATTGAAAATAATTTCACTTAGACGTCAGTTGATCGGTATGCATGTGAACAAGATATCTTTCCAAAAACTGAACTTATCACTTTATTTTTTTTATGAGCTTTAGATTTTTATCCTTAGAAGGCTTTTTGAATTTTACTATTTTTTTTTGGTAACAAAATACGAATCACCGGTATCAAGTAGTCAAAAAAATTCGTGCTAATTAAACAGAAAAATTTTTTTGTAGCTTTAAACGAAATACATGTTTTGGTAATTAATAAAAGTAAATTGATTATTCGAAATTACATAAGCATTCGAGGTGTGCACTTTTGGATTTTACAATTTTTTTTTTCATTATTATTAAAACGGTTCTGGATTTGCATGGATCTATAAATAATGCGCGATATTCGAGTGCGGTTTCTTGATCAAGCTTACTTTTTGTAATCTGTAGCATGCTTAAAAATTGTTTATATGAGGAGACTAATCAATTAACCAACATAAACAATGATAGTTTTATCGATATGAGGGAACGTCCACAAGAAAAATGAAGTACGTCAATTGTCAAGCGGGCTTCGCGAACGGTAATCAATACAAAACGATGTCTCTGTTAATGAGATACAAAAAGTTAATACCGGTTGTACAGGAATATGCGGTGTCCCAGAGGAAGAAGTTTTCCGGGATCAAGTTTTTAGTGTTCAAACTGGCCCGTAGACTTTTTACTTTAGGAATTGTTCATGATACTCTCTGAGCTTAGTTTTTTAACACTGACGAAGTATGGGTGGCCTAACAATACTATGTATTTTATTTTTTGGGTGGGACGTCCTTAATTTAATGGTTTCCAAAATCAAACAGATGTTTCATTACATCGTCATTACATTACTCCACTCTTTCCACACAACATAGGCCTCATTAAAGATTGTTTCATTAGGCTTATACTTGACATAGTTGTGCATCGCCTGGCTTGTTTCCCTCGTCGCCTCTTACGACACCTACGTAATATGGGGTTGAAGATTCTCTTAGGCTGCCGCTACACGGAGGGCAATGTACACGTGGACAATGGCAATGTAAAATGTACTATATTATGCTTGGAGCAACACTTCGACAACTATAATACAATGTACTATATTATAGTTTTTTTTTATAGGATAGGGTGACAAACGAGCACACAGTTCACCTGATGGTATGTGGTTGCTGTGGCCCATAGACATCTACATCTATCCTCGTTTGCGAATGAAAATGCAGATGCGTTGTCAGCCGTGAGGACCAAGATGGAATGGCTCATTTCCAGTAAAAAGGGTCTCCGGTTCTCTATACCATACGAAACACAACAGTGTTAATCTGCTATTTTACGCTGGTATTCTGTGAGAGCGTGGTCCTCCCCCGGTCGAGCCGACCCATTCGTGCTACAACTATACTACTAATATAGCTACAGCATGGCTCTACCACGTAAAAAACGTTGTTGGAGTGTAGAGTACCGTAGACCCCTTTTACTGGAAACGAGGCATTCTATCTTAGTCCTCACGGGTGACACCGTATCTGCATTTTGATTCGTAGTTGGATGTAGATGTCTATGGGCCACAGCAACTACTTACGATCAGGTGGACTGTGTGCTCGTTTGTCACTCTTATTCTTTAAAAACGACACTTACCTTTCTTAAGTTCGGAGGAAGTGGAGGACTTGCTGCTGCCGACCCTTGCGGATCGCCGTGCGGCCGTTTTGCGGTTCTTGAAGAACCCACTCGACATGCGAGTTAACTCCTCCGGCCGACTTTGTAGGGCTGTAATATTTTCGTTGTTTTTAATACTCGTATTTACTATATGTTTTTACGTTACGTTGCAATTCAACAACCTGGATATAATTCTTGTTTTATTTTTTATTTGTTTAATCCAGGCCGATATTTATTTTATTTACATATCTTTTGTGTGGCAAAGGACATTTCTGTCATTAAATAATAAAATTACTATCCTTAAAATTATTTAATGATAAACATATCCTATAACGACGTAGTACTGTAGGTACATAAAACTTTGTTGTATTGTAGGTGCCACTCACCAGATGTCGCTAGTTGGAACTGAGGTGAAGTGTTTTGTTACACTATGTAGTTTAAATGAGACATTAGCTTTAAATAAAAGTTTATCAGGTTTTAGAGACTGCCTCAGTGGTTTGCTCTTTAATTTCTTGCACATTTATAACACTTTTTTTATAATTAATAGAATTAATAGAATCAGGCGTTACTTTGCGGAAATCCATTATCTGCTTGAGGAAGGGAGGCCGGTAGGTGCTCTTCAAATTAGGTAAGACACGTGATTTTATTTTATCGAGCGGATGTAAGCGACGTAATGTTTACCAAATTTAATACTTTTTTGTTCTACTTTTAGTAATATTACTATAATTACAGAAAGAAATATTGTTCCTTACATTTTCCTAATAAATTTACTTTTCTGTTATGAAAACTCAAATATTTCACTTCATTCAAAAGTAACGCCGTCGCCCTTGTGGCAGAAAAAGTCTTGGATTTATTGTTTCAAAAGAGATTTACCCGTACGTTACAAGGAAACGAAGAATAAAATAAATGACATTTGTATTGGCTCACTATTGACAGAATGTCGTCTGCTCCCGGGACTTGATGATGAACAATTGCTTGCAGCCGATAGTGACATAGAAGCCAGGGATCCAAGCGATTCTCGACCTAGAGGCGTCGCCGCGTCTACTTCCGAAGAGCCAGTTAGCGTAGACACCTAAAACAAAATGATATCACATTGTAAATTATTATACATACATATCACGCCTATCACCCAGAAGGGTAAGCAGAGATTATGAACTTTCATTTGGCGCGATCTTGACACACTTCTGTCGCCTCCTTCTTATTTAGCCCATCGTCAATGTATCGTCAGTTTGGTCGATAAACTTCTTGTTTGCTTATATGCTGCAGTGGCCGCTTAACTTAGGCTGAGATCTATAGACCGTACTTTGACTTTGCTCAGACTACTTTCGAACTAAGACAATGTCGGTATTTATAGAGCTAACTTTGAAGTAGTGCTGAGTGCGCGCTTAGCAAAGCCTAAGTCAACGAAATCGACTCACCAAGCGAAACGCAGAGGTAAACCTCTACTTCACGCAGGTTTTCTGTGAGGTCGTGGTACCACCCCGGTTCGAGCCGGCCCATCCGTGCGACAGCAAAAGCTGCCGCGTGGCTCTACCACTGTTGATTGTCATTATTCACATTAATTTAATTTTTAAGAAAAAGTCATAAATTTAAAAGTAAAGCAATACCGTAACTTAAAAGTCACCCAACACACAAACCAAAGAATAACTTTTTATTTTTATAAATAATTGTTTTATTTATACAAACCGGGCTAGTGTTATGCGAAGCTAGGGTATGCGCATCCAGGGAAGCTAGGGACGTGCAGCTGTCCCGCGACTTGTTACGGGAACTTCGTCTCTCGCCCAGGAGTAGACCCAGCCGCATGTACAGGTCATTTTGCCGCCTGGATTCGTAGCCCTGCTTGATGTGACCGCCCTCGTCATCTGTAAGTTTTAAATTGACTTTAATAACAAGAAAGTTAATAGGCGGTCATTGGCATACACACTTCAAAAAACATGCTGTGTTATGATTATTTAAGAATATATTTAAATAAGACCATAAAATATGAAAAAAAATTGGTGATCTTCATTTAAACATATATATTTTAAATTGTGTATTATAGTGCCTTTACCACATGTAGCATTCGTGACTTTATATAAAAATAAAAAATAAAAACAATTTGTCCGCTATTCCTAAATACTTAAAACAAACATATTGTGGAAGTAGATTATTAACACACTGCATGCTTAACACAACTAAATTGAATATAAAAAAGAAAATGTTCATAATTTTAAATATTTTGTTCTTAATAATCTTGTACACTTTTGTGAAGCTAAATTTTAAACAAGTGAAATTAAAAAAAAATAGTTTTTAGCACGTTATATTATCATATTCTTGCATTGTTATCCAAATTTGAGCTATATTCAAAATTTCAAGTTGCCAGCTCATCGGGAAGTTAGTTTAAAATCAATTACTAAATTTCACCCGGAACGACAGACAAATAAGAAAGTGACTTATTATAAAAGTGGTAAAATGTGATTCATTATTATATAGTAGTTACTTTAAGTTGCTCCTGTTCCCGAATCTTTAGTCGTATGAAAACAAAAACATCTTTAAGTTTTCAAAATCAAAAGTAAACAATAACACAATTTATTTTCCTGTGAACGCGTTTAGGCGCGTGATTGGGTATGATAAACACCCAAACATCATCGCAAATATGGTTCGATTATTATATTATAGTACGTAACTGCGTAAATTACTACGTCAACATATTTCATTTTATAGAATAAGGATGACAAACGAGCACACAGTCCACCCGATGTGGATGCCATGGCCGATAGAAGTCTACATCTATCCACGATTAAGAATTAAAATGCAGATGCGTTGCCACCACTGATGACGGCCTCGTTTCCAGTAAAAAGGTATATTACCCATTCGAGTTGCAACAACAACAAGTCAAATCATATTTTTCACAAGTTAAAATCACAGATATATTTTTTTTAATATAAAACGAAAGTTAAATAAAAATATTCCATTAAAAAGAAATATGACAGGCTTATTTACAATCGGACTCCGCCGAGCAAAAAAATCGGAAGTTCTTTTTAAGTTCCCATGATATTTAATGGGAAACCGCTGTGGGTAGGCTCTCATATTTGCACTTGGATTACTTTCCCAGCTTAGTGTTTCACGTGAGATCCTATTGTAAGCTCATGACCATGTTTTTTGATTAATGAAGTTAAATTGAATTGCGTGATAATTTAATTTGTTTATCAATTAATGCAATTAAATATATAATTCTTTTTTGTTATTAGAAAAACGTTACCTCCACACTAGGATTTTCTCCTGTATCTCGAGGGCAGTTTACATACATAAATTTCACAAGGACAAACATCCAGACCCGGAACAATTATTTGTTGGCCATACAAATACTTGTCCCATGCGGGATTCGAACCCGCCGCGGGTTAGCGCAGTAACTCATTGGTAAGCCACTGCGCCACAGAGCCGTCTTTTTTTATAGGTTAGAGAGACAAACGAGCACACAGTCCACCTGATGGTAAGTGGTTGCTGCGACCCATAGACATCTACATTTATCCTCAATAAAGAATCAAAATGCAGATGCGTCGTCACCCGTGAGGACTAAGATGGAATGCCTCTTTTCCAGTAAAATGGGTCTCCGGTTCTCTACACTCACCATACGAAACATAGCAGCGTTAAGCTGCTATTTTCCGCTGGTATTCTGTGAGAGCGTGGTCCTTCCCCGGTCGAGCCGACCCAATCGTGCTACAACTATACTACTAATATAGCTGCAGTATGACTCTACCACGTGTATAATATTTGTCCGTCTATATAATAATTGTAATATGGCTGGCTGTATTCAATAAAGCGTGTAATAATCATGTTTATTTGTTTTTATATGTATGATTTTTTATAAAATTGAAATCAAAACAAACTTGCAGTCCAGCTGATAGTACGTGACTACTGTAGGCAAGGATACCTGCAGCTACCCTCAAAAAAAATGTTAGAGAACCGGAGACCGTCTTTGCTGGGAACGAGGCAAATTCCATCTTAGTCTCAAGGGATGACAACGTATCTGTATTTAATTTTTAATCGTGAATAAACCTAGATCCCGATAGGCTATATCATCCACTAACCTTCAGGTGGATAGTGTGTTCATGTCACCCTTATTTTCTCTTTCAAAAAAAAAAACAGGATGTGGTAAATCTCTATTATGGATACCATATAAGCGTGGTCCTATTAACATGTAACTGTTTCACGTTTACATATGTATATAGATGTCTCCACATCACGTATGGAGACGAGGTCAGGACGCGCCTGATAAGGTCTTTGCGGTGTAAGACGAGACTGCTACACCTGCGGAAGTTACTCCGACGCCACCGTGGGAGCGCGACGACGTGATTCCGCGATTTTAATATGATATGACGTTTACCGGTCAGGAGCTGATTGCAATTTATTTCGTTAAATGAAATTTCTTTCGAAAGTAATTCTGTTTGTTAGCGGAGGATCTACAAGGAAGCTTTTATACTGGGTCGAATAAATTGCTATTTATGTAATCACAGTTACGTGAGAAGATAAATAAACGTTATTTAAATTGTCGTACCTATACTAAAAAGTATGGAAGATTGTCCTGTACTAAAAAAGTATATCACTAGATAGTATCAGTAGTAAGTATGTCAATAGATGACCATTATAGTGATTACATGATATAAATAAAATGTTTCTCTTGATATATTACAATTTTATTAAAAATAATACGATAAAAATATTACAATATTTGAAATACGCGAAATTACATTATATAGGTACAGATTTTTTATGGAATAGGGTGACAAACGAGCACACAGTCCACGTGATGGTAAGTGGATGCTGTGGCCCATAGAAAACTACATTTATCCTCAATTAAGATTCAAAATGCAGATGCGTTGTCACCCCTGAGGACTGACATGGAATGCCTTATTTCCAGTAAAAAGGGTCTCCGGTTCTTTACACTCACCATACGAAACACAGCCGCATTAAGCTGCTATTTTACGCTGGTATTCTGTGAGAGCATGGTCTTTCCCCGGTCGAGCCGACCCATTCGTGCTACAACCATAATATAGCTGCAGCATGGCTTTACCACGTAAAAATGTATTCAAACCGCTCAATTATTTAATTATATAAATGCAGTAAATGTAAGAGTATTTCCAAAATTCAATTAAGAATCTAATTTTCTACCGACTTCAAAAAGGAGACGGTACTCTATTCAACTGTATTTTTTTGTGTGTGTTACCTCATAACTTTTTTCTGAGTTAACCGATTTCGATGATTTTTTTGAAAGCTGGTGCTTTTCATGTAGTGCCATATAAATTTGATCAAGGTCTGAACAATAGTTTTTGAGTTATTCTTAATAACCAACCTCTATATGGCCGGTCTATTGCCACTTCAGCTTACTGATCCGTCGGGCTATGTCGGTTACCCTGGTTTTACTGCGGATATCCTTGTTTCTATGTCGATGACGCAGAGCATCTCCGAGCATAGCCTTACTTATTGTATACTAAACTTTATACCCTTGTTAAAATACTTAACTTATTTTTAATAAATATGGATAGTAAACCCAATTGAGGGAGGGCGGAAGGTGCTCATTGAGGCTTCAAACTAGGTAAGACACATGACTTATTTTTATTATCTTTAAGATGTTAAAATTATTTAGCTGAGATTTAAAATAGCAAAAAAGATTAAGTAAGCAATATCTTTGCGAGGAAAATATATTCCAAGGCTTTTTATAAATGTCAATGTATTTTCAGGTACATTGCCATTCCAAGTCAATATGAATTGTTTAAATCAATGATAAGATCTGTTGTCTTAAATAAGGCATCATATCGCATAGTTATAATTTCTGACGTTTAACGATGCATTTGTATCGTGGAGATGACAATCGTCGACCGACTGTTAACATTCATAGGGGCGGGTTTACAATGGATTTATTACATCGCTGAGCTTTAAACAGATACAAAGCGTATGGAAGAGGCAACCCTATGCAATTATTTTCTATAAAAAAATATTAATGTTTTCGAGGTCTAATTGTGTATTGTAACTTTTAGACAATATTAATAAATATTTAGTATTGAATATTGGTCGGAGACATACAATAAAGTGTATAATATCTTAGATGTTTATTATTTCGAACGTACTATTCGCATTTGGGATGTTGTACTCCTTTTTACTAACTTTCACATACTGTCATTATAATATAATATTTAGACTTTGTTTTGGAGGGCAGCAAATAAACGCAAATACCCACTCGTCCTAGCGTATCTGTATCCGATGTAAAGCTTATGAGATAACATCGGACTATCTACGTAAATATAAAACAAAGAATCAGCGTTATAGTTTTATATTTTCGTCAAAATTCCTCTGCCAATTATATATTTTCCCATAGATGGCCACAAAGCACAATTCTGATCCACAAGATCTATAGATGTATATTATGTTATATAAAACTTACATTAACAAAATGTTATATATCTTTGCACTTACATTTCATGTAGTCTCCAAAGATTGGCCTTATTTTTTTTTATTTTTTTATAGGAGAGGGGGCAAACGAGCATGCGGCTCACTTGATGGTAAGTGACTACCGCCGCCCATGAACAACCGCAACACCAGGGGAATTGCAGATGCGTTGCCGGCCTTTTAAAAAGGAGTAGGCTCTTTTCTTGAAGGTTCCTAAGTCGTATCGGTCCGGAAAAATCGCTGATGGTAATCGATTCCACAAGGAAGTCGTGCGAGGAAGAAAACATCTTCTAAATCGCACAGTGGTGGACCGCCAATCATCCAGATGATGTGGATGGTATCGGGAGTTCTGCCGCGATGTGCGTTCATGAAATTTGGCGGCTGGGATTAATCCGAACAATTCCTCAGGGCACTCCCCATGGTAGATGCGATAGAA